GAGGTCGAGGAGTGCCCCGTGAGAATGAGAGCATTCCGGGCGATCGTGCGTGGGAAGCTTGTTTGGGAAGATGCTCATGATTGTTTCAAGGTGGCCCTCATTTTGTTAATGAGTCGGGCAGCACCGGGACACTCACAGCCTCGTCTCTGCGTTGTGCAGAAGGAGACGTTCGTCTTCTCGGGGAAAAGAAACCCAGGCACACCAGTCCTTCGGAGAAACCTCACATGTTATGTAAAATAGCTTTTCCATGCTTTTCCACACAAGCTCTCCGGCTCATTATGAGATTGAATTCAACGCAGACTATTTCCTAAACCACTGCCAGTTAACGCTATGCTACGTTTTGGTGCAGAGTGTCTTCAAGTTTGCTCCCTGTGTGAGATTTTCAGTGAGCGTGAAGAGCTTCTCCCAACAGCCAGAGTGAATAGCAATCTCCCCTCCAACCCCCACCAACCCGTCTCCCTGCGCCCCTCGCACCGTGAGCCAGTCATTAACATTTGAAAACGGTCAGAGTGGAGACAGACTGCATTGTGTGCTCACTTCAGCCACAGAGAGAGAGAGAGAGAGACACTACGCAACATCAGCCACAATATAATCATTTCCATGCTTGACCTTTGGTGGAAATCATTCTCCCCCCCCCTTCCTTCCTTCCCCCTTGAGGAATGCCAGCTATTTTGCAGGGTCATCTCTCAAGATGTAGCGGGGCCTCTTGTCGGCTCGGTTCGAGGGCCGGTCCTCGTGGAGGATAAGAGGGAGACGAAACAGCGGAGAACAGTGTTGAACTCCATTAGTACAGCCTGTAGTCACTTGTTCGTGCAACTTAACAGGCTGAACACATGAGGCACGTTAGGTGATTGATTAGTCGTTGCAGTCATTTTTCTCCGATTCCAGCTCCTCAAATGTGACAATTGGCAGTCTTCTTTGTCATATATGAATTAAACTGAATATTGTTGGATTTTTGACTGTTTGTTTGATAAAACAAGCACATTTAAGATGCCACCTTGGGCTCTGGGAAATTATATTGGGCATCTGTTTGACCACTTTCTGTAATAAATCATGTTTATGCATCTAAGCAGATTCTTGGAATAGGGTTCAACTGATTTTTAAACTTTAACTTTTTTTATTTCGTTGACTTATTTCATGATGGAGAATGATAGTGTATTTTCTCGTGTTCCCACTTTCTTCCTTCAGCTATAGTTTTGTGATTTCCAGCATTGTTGTGGTTTGGCGAGGCTTCCCGAGGTAGATAAGTGTGAATCTGATCCTTCTCTACTACAAACAATTTCTCTGTGTGATTGTTGAAGGTTGGTGCACAACAAACAGAAGCTAATGTAATGTTGATTACTCGGGATATTCTCAGCCATCTTATTGGGTTCTGAGAGGTTTTCATGGGCAATTAAAACAATACAAAAATACTTACCAAGTAACTTTTCAATAAGGATTAGCATTAGTTGCAGCATGGTCAACCTTTGACAGAAATAAATAAAATACAACCTCTAAAAGCATCATCATTAAAAGCACTAAAGTGTTAAAAATGGGGAATGATAAACAAAAGATTCCCCTTTCATCTCGGATGCCCTTCCTGTCTCAAAGGGGGACGATGGCCGCCTCAGTTGTTCGTCTCTTTGTGTCTGACAGATCTTCATGTGGCGTGAAATCGAGAAGACACTGGAGTGAATCTCCATCCCATTGACTATTCCTGTATGTAAAAACCATTCAATGTGGCCCTGCAGAGATACCATGAGGCATATTTCACATCTCGGCTAATGCCCCCCGGAGGGATTAGCTCTCGTCTCCGGGGGTTACCACGATGCACTCGTGTACCCTCGTTTGGCATCAATGCCGAGCTTGGAAATAATCCAGCTCTCTGCTCTGCCAACGCTGAGCGCCTCTTGGCTGGGGCCCCATGAATACCAACCATACTGTTGGGGTTTTGTGTGTGTTGCTGATACTTTCTTGACCCCTGTAGATGCAGTAAATTGTCTTTTGTAGGTCAGAGGTCAGCAGCCAAACAAAAGCCCCGAGAGCGTTAAGAGATTCATAGCTTTGCTCGAAGACACTTAAACAGCATGGATGCCGGCCAACAAGGCTCCTCAAATTGAAGGACGGTTTCCCTTCCTGTCGCTTAACGCGATTCGCACAGTCCTGGAATGACTCGGCGGAATATGAGTGGCGACGTTGCACAATGTGTTTCCCCAGCAGCCATTCCAGCTCCCAGAATTCAATACACACTTTTTGGAGAGAATATGTCCAGTGTGGCTTTCACGTCTAATTATAGGCTTTGTTCGGGAACCGGCGCGGGAAAGGACGAGTTCATTGGAAGCGTTGATCACTGCAGGAGGCAGGAAGTGCTGCAGGCTAAAGAGGAGGGCGTCATGTCAAGTTACCTTGTAGTTTATGCAACAGTAAAGAAATATAATGGATATGATGAATGGACAGAGTGAGGAGGTTAAGTCATTTCTCAATTCACATCCTTTGACTTCATCAGAAAGGTGGCTGACGGCCCACGTAGTGTTGCATCATGGTTTGTTACTACTGTAACTGCCTTAGGTTGCCTCAGATTGGCAGACATCAGGTAACTAAGGATTTTGGATCTTGTTACATTGTTAGAATCCAAGTGCTCAACTTTTGATAAGCTGGAACTCGCAAATTATTGTTATTTTTGCTCCAAAAACAACCCTGAAAAGATGAATGAATTACCAAAATAGTTCCTTGTCTAATTTTCTGTCAACTGACTAATGAATAAAATGACCAATAGTTTCAGCTGTAGAAGAAATACTCCAATACTGTATTGGTACTAATACAGTAACGACACAATATTAACTTCACAGGTGAGGAATAATATATAGAAACTCAGACAGATATTGTATCCAGTTAGCGCTAGAGTTGCTGGCTTGCGTGTTAGCCGTTAGCTCAACAACTACAGTATTACAAGTAGCCTAGCCCTGCGAGTAGTCTCTACTTCACCAAGCTTGTAGCGCGAATATTTCTGGTGTGACCGGCCTTTCATCAAAGGATAGTGCTTAAAAGCATCTTTATCTTAACACAAGCTGCCATACAAGGATTAACAAACTTCATTTTGTGTTTTCAGGAAAAACTCCACCAATATGACGACACAGTCTCAGCCATGCACATCCACTGACTAAACAAATATCCCAGCTCCCAAACAGAGATGTTTTGAGCATGAGCGGTTAGTCACAGCTTGCAGCGTGGTTAGACGCAACCCGGCACATGGCATCCTGTCACAGAGACGGTCGCCATGCTGTTGCTGTTTGAGACTGTTGCTGTTTCAGGGAGTGGAGGTTTCCTCGAAGCGCTGCGGCAGCAGCTCGTGAATCACAAATGAGAGTAGAAGGGAAGGGGGGTGGGTGTCATATTTACCCTGGGGATACCATAGTCTTTTATGCAGAATGAATAAGACTGTTTCTATCAGCCCGGAGGAGCTTGGGTGTGCTGTGTCTTGAAGTATGGGGCCTAATGAAAATCTTCAGTCACAAAACAAATATGCTTTTCAGCTTGTTGGAAAAGAAACAAAACGAACATGCCAATGACGTGACTTCTATGTTCTAATCAATGACCGTGCTGAAGGCCACAAAGCTGGAATAAGCAATCGATCCGTCTCTTTTTAAAGTTCCAACTCTATTCGTGCTTCTGTAACTGTGTCACGATTGATTTACAGCTGCTTGCATAAGATACATCAATCGGTCATTGTGTGGCAGCAGCGCCTGTGCTGGATCACATTTCCCTGACTGAAAATCTAAGCTCCATTAAGTTGTGACATTTTCCGCAAGACTCTTTCTGAAATAGCGGAGGTGAAGTTTCACCGAGCCTGCTGTGTAATTACGTTATTCCACGGCCCAGTGGCTTGGGTTGTAATCAGAGGGTCAACCTTCCTGAAAACTGTCCAAATGAAGAAATTACCATGTGCTCTGAGCTCTGAACCGCTTCCCATGAGCCCTTCCTACCCAGAGCCCTTCACACGGCCCATTTATTTGAACTGGCTCTCACCCGCACTCTGAGGAACGGCTCGTAAAAAGTCATCAGGTCCTCATTACCGTCATTACTATAATTATTTTCTATATTTAACCATGTGAAATGAGGCCAAATGAGTGTGCTGGTTCGCCCCTCTTCGGCGAACCAACTCAGGGACGCGTGTCACGGTCGGTACGGTCCTAAATGCTATGTTTCTCACAGTCGGAGCGCACCACTTTTTCCTCTTTTTTTTGGGAGCAGGTTGTGTTTGTTTGGGTTGAAAACATCCTCGTCTCTTTGGAAGTAGGACCGCTCCCGTTGCTGTGGGGATGCTGTGTCTCTGCTATGTGGTGTGGGTTGTGCTTTTGGCCTCAGTAGCAGGGGGGAATTTGAGTATTTGTGCGCTTGTTTAGCCAAAGCCACCTTCATTATTATTCGATTGATGTGTACCCCGCAGAGCCAAAACCACCCAGAGAGCTCTTACTGAAAGCGAAGGTGGGGCCCTTTCAGCAGGCCGGTGAAGTTACACAAGGTTTTCCTTTTCTTATTTTTGGATGGTCAGCACAGGCTTTCCACACAGGACATTTATACTGTTTGTGTTCAGGCGAGACGCTGGGGGAAAAAAAAGCACCAAAAAAAGCCTTGTTGGTGTGTGAGTCAGAGAGTGGAGGGGCTCAGACAGCTGGGTCTTCAGGCTGTGCATCGAGCTTCAGGTGCCAATCTGGACAGCTCAGCTTTGCACGTTTCCTCGCTTTCTGATGACGAAAACATACCAGCCATGAGAGCGTCTCCAAAACCAGATGTTGCAGAGACCTGGGAGACCCCGAAAAAAATAATACATGTGTACAGGAGTTTTACACCTCCTTTTATCTTCAGGACCTGCTCCGTTTTTCAGGCCAAAATTTGTCAGGCTTCATCTTTAACATATTTAGAGTCAAAACTATTAGTTGTTTAATAGTTTCGGCAAGAAAAACATTTCAGTCATTTCTTTTAAAAAAAAATTGAGTATTTGAAGGGAATTTTTTCATTTTTGTTTGACATTTCATAGACGGAATGATTCATTTAAAAAAATAATCTGCAGATTAATTCACAATGAAAATGTTTGTTAGTTGCAGCTCACTGTGAAACAATATCAGACGTGACACAGAAAAGCTACAAATATTTACTTCACTGGATCTGGTAACGATTAAAAATGGCAAAGTAAAATCACAATAAACTTTCTGATGAAAGTATATTTTAAAAAGAAATTTAAATGTAGTATTTAAATATGTAATTTATTATTATTTGAAATAACGTTATACCCTGACACATGTTCAATAGCTTGTATGACGCAACACACAGCCTCTTATGAGCCTAAACTATCTGAAATATAGCAAAGCCATTAAAAGACCTTCCACGTCGTCTAGAGATGAGACCTTCTTTTGACTGTCTAACCCACTCTATGAACCTCTGCCAACCCCCGCTATTTCATTAAGATTTGAAGGTCAGGACCGGAACCGCCTCATATTTACATTAGGAAGCAGCAGAACGCCTCTCGCCTCGCCAGCTTATAACGGATAACTTCCTGGAAGCTCGTCTGAGGATGAAGCAGAAGGGGCCCTCCCCGCCTGCCCACTGACTAATGGCAAACACATGTGTTTATAGGAGGATCAATGGCGAGCGGTGGAGTCATCGTGTTGTGACTAACCGATGTCTACACCAGAGATCTGACGCCCGCTTTAATAGACAGTTTCACCTGCTGCGATTAGAGTCACGCAGCTGACTGAAGCAAACAAACAAAAAAACACAGGAGCGTCACTTCAAAAAGAAAAAAAATGATCTGCGTGTAGCCGTTAGCCGTTACAGCTAACTACAGGTTTGTTCAGTGTTATTAGTGGGGGTGATGTTTTCTGCTCCACATCACCCATCAGGTTTGAACATCCCATCTAGCTCTAGTGTGACTCACCGTGTATTGGGGGTGCTATCGAAGTGATCATGATTTGTATGTTTACTTCCCCAAAAGCTCTGCCCGAATACAACCACACCGTAGTGAGGAGGAAGGTTGTGTAAATGTGTCAAACTTGTCCCTTTTGGGATCCTTGTAGTGGCCAAACTCACAGCAATGGGTGATGCATTAGGTGTTCATGTGTTTTGCAGCATTTTTAAACACAAACTCAGTTTGCTCATGGACAGTTTAAGGTTTTTATCAAGGTGTTGGCAATCCTAAAAGAGCTTTAAAGTATGACATTAATATTGTGATGGTTATAGTATTTATGTCTTATTGACATTGGCTTTATGTCCTCATAGTGTTGGTTGTAAAAAATTATAAAGATTTCTGCCAAATCAATTTTTCTTTTAGATATTTTTCTTTCCTCTTGACTTTATTGAAATATAAAGTATAAACGTATATATACAAAAGTGACCATAAAGCATTGTTATGACACCAAACTAAGCACTCATTCGTACGGTGGCCCTGAAGGCTTAGCGCACTGCAACGTACAAAACATGCAAATAGACCCAAAAGAAAGGAAATGGAAAAAAACAACTCGTGCAGCATTAAGAACAAAAAACAAGCACAAACTGCAATTGATGACGAGGTCTTCTCAGGCTGCAGTGCGTTGAGCTTGATGCGTAATTTTTTGCAGAGGACGTTTTAAACATGCGCTTTACAAGTTTATGCGGTTGTCAGTACCATTTTTCAATGTCTGTGTATTAGTGCACATGTGGTGCAGCTGGATGCATCGCTGTAATTAGCAGAGACAAAAGGAGTGCGATACGTGCTGCTGCTCTGGTGTCTTGAGGTGATTTCATTTCTCTTTTGAGCATCAAACACCGAGCAGTTAACCACAGCAGGACAATGAGTCTCGTTCAAGAACCACTCGTACTAGCAGGTTGCTCTGAACGCACAAGTGATTTAGGAGATAATGTGTAGGAGATGTTGTGATGATTTTGGCATGACAACTTTTACATTTCAGTGTTTTAGGAAGATTATCTTTATGCTCATCTGTTAGTCTGTCCAGTATTATCCTCTGTTGCACCCGACAGTGTAACATCGCTTATATATATCTCATAGAGTGTCACGTCCCCTTGACGCCGTCTCATATTACTCGTGGACCGCTTTGCTCTAGTTTTTTTAAGTGTTTAACCTACATTACTGGTTTATTTTGTGTCCCATAACACCACCAGTGACGCTGTTAAACTTGTTATCTTTTTGTCTGCAGGACTTGAAGCTCGGTAGTGTGGAACTGTTTTGTTTCGGTAACATTTTTGGGAGTGAAACTTGCACACACAATCAGAACAGAGCTGGCAGCCTTTACATGGCAATTTTTGCCATTGATTTTACTAATGATCGAACTGACAAATGTTAAGTTAGTTAAGATTAAAAGTTTGGGGAATCTTGTACGAACAAACTTCCCAGAAGGGTTCATAATAAGAATGTTCTTGCATGAGGCCCAATGTCTCGAATATATTCAAACTCTTAATTGGAGCCACAGTTGCAATCACAGCAATCAGCCTTTTCTTTTCCTCATGGATGCCTCTGCCAGCCTTGATCAAATTATTGCGACAAGCAAACATCCAGGTCCGCTCCCATTGGGCGACGTCGACCTACGGGGGTCACAGCGGAACTTGACGCAGCTAGCTGGCGGCGGGGGGGTGATTGTGAGGGTGTAATTGTGTTGCTGGCTAATGGTCCTGACAGTGCGCTCAGACAATAGCCAGGGAGGCCAGGCCCGCAGCGAGAGATAACGACATTAGTAGCAGAGAGAGTTTCACATGGGAACTGCATGAATCAGACCGGGTAGGAAAGGGGAAGGCCAACGAGGGTTCAAGAAGAAGAGGGCTTCCTCATTCCCACACCGAGCTTCTGAAGTGTGAGGCGTTAATGACAGACACAAAAAAAGTACTTGAAAGATTAGTGAAACTGAATAATACTTTACTGTTGAGAAGCTGTATTTGGATGCTTAAAAACAGTTAAAGTCACCGTTTACTTGTTGCTGATAATCCTCACTTTGTCAAGATTTTGCCTTTTATGTGCATGTCGCTTGTATTCCGATTAAGAATCCAATTGTACTCTGCTGATTTCATCTGGTACGAGTGTGTTTAATTCAAGCAGCAAGACCACGCAGTGTGCTTCTGTAGCTTCAGTTTCATTACAAGATCGTTTTTAGCCATTTTATTGCAGAAGCAATAAATGTCAACAAAAGATGTGTTGCTTGTTTTCTTTTTATTGTCTTTACAAGGCCTATCTGCCTGGGTGGTGGTGCTGCAAAAAGCAATCAAGTTGAGTTGTTCGCACGAAATAGACAAGCTGGGAAAACCGAACACCCTCCTTTCCCTCAGTATCTAACTTTAAGGTGCCCTTGAGCAAGGCTCTTAATCCCATAATTGTGTTTATGGCGCTTACATATGAAGTACAGGACTGTTGTGCTGGACGGTTTGTCATTATGCAAGTATGAAGCAGCTGAAATGGAGTGTTCATACTCAATTAACTCCTTCCATGGATGAATAAAGGCTAAAGGGAAAAGACTGATGTATTTACTGAGGCAATTAGTCTTTAAATGCCCCTCTCAGACACAGAAGTGGCACACTCTGGGGGTTTTCCTATCTCCAAAATCTGTGGTTTTGAGTCATTATCCCTCAGCCCTCGCTGGCCCTTTAGATAACTGTGCCCCGGAGCAGAGAGCGCAAGCTGAGAAAATCCCATCAAGTTCAGATTGGTCTGAAAAGGCATCTGGTTTGGAGCTGTGGGCTGATGGGATCCTGCATGGTAATTTGAAGCGCAGAGAAAAGTTCACCAGCATGTCATTCGCCAAAGCGTTTTAAAACCATAGAAAAGTACTGCAGCTGATAGTAAACGCTCGTGTTTTAAAGGAATAGTTTGGCATTTTTGTGTGGTGATCGACACCACTCTTGTGTCTGTATGCTGAATATGACGCTACAGACAGTAGCTGTTTAGCTTAGCATCAAAACCACAGAAGCACAACTTGTCTTTTTTGTGTTTTTGTACGAATTTAACAAACAATATATAATGTGTTGATTGGTGAGCGTTGGAAGGCTGGACAGAGGAAGGCTAGCTGTTTCCCCCGGTTTCCAGTCTTTATGCTAAGCTAGGCTAACCAGCTGTTGGCTATAGCTTTATATTTAAAGTAGAAAAATGAGACTATCGATCTCCTCATCTTATTCTTAGCTAGAAAACTAATAAGCTGATTTCTTAAAATGTAGAACTATTCATTTTATGTTCAAAATAATTGATTAAAATCTGACGGTAGGTTGCTTCTAGCTTATTTCTGTGAAAATGTAGCAAAGATCTTCGTCTAAAGAACGTCTGCTTTCTTTTTGCAGAACCTGATGGCCAAAGCATTGTACGACAACATGCCGGAGTCCCCCGAGGAGCTAGCCTTCCGCAAAGGGGACATCCTCACCGTCATCGAGCAGAACACGGGAGGCCTGGAGGGCTGGTGGCTCTGCTCTCTGCACGGCCGCCAAGGCATCGCCCCGGGCAATCGCCTAAAGCTGCTGATCGGACCCATGTTCGAGGCCCAGTCGCCGGCCGCCGCTGCCCAGTCGGCTGGCTCAGGGGGAGCTCAGGGGATCTACCAGGTGCCACCGTCCCTCCAGAGTCCACAGCAGCAGAGTCAACAGAGCATCTACCAAGTCCCACCTGGACAAGACGTCTACCAAGTCCCCCCAAGGAGTACTCTAGCTGCCGATAACACACCGAGCAAGGTGAGACAAAGAGGCTTACATTTTCCTTGGGCTGCAATTAATGACTATTTTCATTATCAGTGAATCTGCCAAATAGGTTTTTCATTAACCACTGATTCCAATCTTGCACCATAGCTTTGAACTAGCCTTTCCTTAAAGTAGCTGGTTGGAAGGAACAGCTGTGGACTATTGGCAATAAAAAGTAGAAGAATACAGCTTACGATAGCTTGTTTGGTCCAAGCAACAGTCCAAAGCCAAAAAAATAACAAATTCACAATGATACAAAATGAAAAAAGCAGCAAATTCTCACTTTTGAAAGGCTGGAAACGCGGCCAAATGCCTTGATGAATGTCAATTAATCAGCGAATCGTTTAAGCTGACATCTCTCCAAATGGTTTTGTTTATCCGATTAGGTATTCACTGTCACAAAGTAGTGGGGTACAAACTTTTAAAAACCACATGTCAACGATTTACACAAGTGCTATAGATAAATAGAAAATAAAGAAATGGAGGGGGTTTAGAGAAAGGAAGAAAATGGCGACTGATGTGTTCGCTGTCCTCTGGAGACAGTTCTTTGGGATCAGAGCGGATTTAAAATGTAAACTCTGGTGAATGAGGCCTTCACTGGCGAGTGTGGGGTATTAGATGCGATAGGACATGGCATTTACACCGTGACCCGTTTATCCTGCCAGTCTGCCACGACTCTCATCAGTGTGATTGCACACACAGGGAGCAGAGAGGCCGGAGAGATTGTGGGTCTGCGATGTGAAATGTGGACAGGGTGTGCCGGGCCTGGTGCTTACCACAGAGCAGGGTAGTGTTTTTGTGCAGGGCTCCCATTTGGCTTTATATGTACTGTATATTGGCACACAGTGTGTAGCAGAGCCAGTCGAAGCCACAGATGGGCAGTGAATATGGGAACTTGTGGAAAAGCAAACAGCACAGAGCTGTTTTGGGGATTTTGGTGGAGCCCAGCTGCCTGAAAGTAGTTTTTTATTTTTTTGTATTTGAATGCTATTCACAGGGTGGCTGGCAAACCCAGTACACCTGGCAAGGCCCTTTTCAGTAGCTAATCCCCCTAGCAGTATTTCCATTGTGTAGATTTTTTTTTTTTTTACTATATATCATTTGGATATGGACAGCGAAATAGTACACAGAGTGCCCTCCGAATCAGTAAATAGTATATGAAGTAGGGCTGTACCGAATTACTTAAATAGTTTAAGGGTATAAAGCATTGTAAAGTCCAAAAGTCAAAATGTATGGAAAAAAAGATAGATGCATTGATTTCCAAAATTCACAACTTAATTTTATCTAACCAAATATTCTGCTTCAATCCATATTTGTTGGCATTTAGCCTTTTATAAAACTACATTTTCATTTCCTATAACTCCTCATCTCGAAGTCAATGGGTTTAGGAGCTTTCTTTAAGAGATTGACGTTTTGTTCTACAACATAAAATATGTCAGTAAATACCCCTCTCGTGAATTTTGAAGCTTTAATTAACAAGCCTTAAAAAAGGCGGTTGCTGACAAGTGGCTAAATGAGACTACAAAACGTCATCACACCGGCTAGTACCTTTACAGCCTCGTGTATACTCACACTCATGTGACCGTGGTGTACTTTGTTTATCGCCTAACGCTTTTTGCTGATGCCAATTGCATTCACACTTCAAAAAGCATAAAAGTGGTGTGGAATTGTGAAATTATCTTGCTGAACAACACGTGTAAGTATCATACACTTGTTTGCCACAAGGCTTTTTTTCTGCAATAATACAAAATCTAATGGAAACATTTAGATTGACTTTTTGTTGAGGGAACCAGTGCGATGCTAACTTCTGGGTTGCCCTACAAAAATAGGTCATCCCTGTCGCGCTCTATAGCTACCATGAGCATCTTGTCTTTTAATTTATTCATGGTAGGAAATGTTAACTGATGTGTTGGCCTGTCATTGCCAAAAGCAGTTAGGTAATGTTGGCCATTGTTAGCTAACGTTAGCCAACACAGTAGCTAACATTATCTACTACTTATGGTGAGTGTTTTTAGCTGATGTGTTGGTTAACATTAGCTATCAAAAGGGACTGGATGTGAAAGCTAACATTAGCTTACAGCAGCTAACATTAGCGTCCATAAGTGATGCCTCGGTCAAATTGGTTAATGGTAGCTGGAGTTAGCAAAGTTAAGCTCGTTATTGCTTTATAACTGACATTACTGAGGTAGTTTGCTGACTCTATTTTTGTGCTGCTGTTACACTACATTTCATTATGTCCTATTACCCCAAAATTGTCATTTGTGGCCATTGTTCAGCTAAATTTGCATAGTCTTGGTTTAAAAAAACGCACCAGTTAAACAAGTGTGCGCCCAGTGGTCCGTCTTTCTTAAATGAAGTCATTGGCAGGAGTGTGCTGAAACAGGAGGGAAGAATATTCCTGTTTATTCAACCGCTTAACTAGTTTTAGCACCTCAGACCAGATCATCCCTCCAGGAGACGAATAGTAATTACATGCTGGATGAGCTTTTGAAATCCCAAGGGTGTTTTTCTTTTATCAAATCAGCTCCAGCCATCATAGAAATGAGCTAAGGTATGCATTTTCAGTAGGTAAATAGGCAGCAGGCGCCGAAGGCTTAGAGGACTTTGTGCGATTGACTGTGTGATAGTCAGTCAGAGCCATGGGGCCTGAGAGGAGAGACCTGCCAATCAAACCTGCACACCGTCAACCAACACCTCTCGTTACCACTAACGAGCCTCGGGGCTTACGCGATGAATGGAATTAAAAAAGGCTTTGGTGATAACATGGAAAATCAAATGACAGTGTGCATTGGGCTGTAATCATGTTATTGCAGAGATTAAATTGAATTTTGGACGTTTAACGTTCCCTCTAATCTGTGGTTATCAAAGTGGTGCAATTTTTTCGGCGGTGGTTCATGTCTATTAAATAGAACGACTTTGACTGTGCTCGTTTATTTCACGGAGTTCAAGGCTCTGTTGTTTTCCAGTGACGTATCCGCCTGTTAGACAGAAGCACCAGCAGCCTCTGTGGCCACAGTCGGTCCTGTTAAAGTCAAACAGCAATACCTGTAGTTAAAGGTTTGTAGAGTGGACGATGAAGAGTTATTTTGGGCATCCAGGGTTCAAAATTTAAAGTCCCCTGTTTGCCTACAAAGGCTTGGATGAACATGAAACTGGTTGAATCTTCTGTTCAAAAGATACACGGGGCCTAATTTAGCTCTTTGGTAAAAAGTCAAAGTTTACTCTCAATAAACAACAACTACTTCTTTCTTTGAGGTAATAGCCACGTTTGGGCTTCAACTTTAAATACGACGCACAACTCTTCAACACACCGGGCTTTAGTTCCCAAGCGTTTTTTTAAAGGCTGTCTTGCCTTTATCAGGGTGGTTCTTTTCAAAATACATTTCATCTTTCAACTGAAGAATGTTTAAGCAGGTTGACCTCAACACGTCCCTCGTTTAATTAAAGTTCACTAACAAAAAAAATCTTGTTTTTTTGGAACAAATATAAAACATCTGGGATATAAAGCATGGTATGTGAGAGGAGAGTTCTGTGCTACTTATTCAATTTTGGTGAAGTTTACAGTGTGTTGTAGCTTCTTCTCCATAGCAACAGTGACAACAGGGGCTAAGGTTTGAAAGCTAGTTTTTTGCAAACTAATTGACAAAAAGCTTGATTAAGTGAAACGGTTGGACATCAATATAAACCTGGAGTAAAGTGAGAAATGTCCGAGAGACTTTAAAGTGACTCCTTCCACCGCCTCACAGTATTTGTGGAGATCATGTCTGTTCACATGAAATCCAAACCGTGACCTTTGCTCTTCAAAACACCAAACTGTTTACTACTGCTCGTCCTTGCGCAGCAGTATTGATGACAGGCTGCCGAGCGTTGACTCACCCCGCATGCCGTCTAAATCTGCCAAGAGCCAATGGAGCTGAAGGGGAAAACAGTCTTTTTCTTGTTGTCAAGCGACACTCACTCGCTTCCCAAAATGATTATGGAGACTGATGTGGGCTTCCTAGACTGATAATCCCCTCTCATGTTACCCTAAAGCCTCCCTGCAGAGAACGGTTCCTGCATGTCCTTCGCCATGTGTTGTGTGTAGAGTCATGCATGCGCGGGTTTGCATGCCGACCTCGCAGCGCAAATCCAGAATGGCAACTGGTTGCTTTCTCTTCATGTGGTGTGGGTCTCTGGTACATAAAGGCACACTGAGGTTTTGGCGCTCCATTCCTCTCTGGCTGTTTGATGCTGCGGCCTTGTCCTTGGGTGACCCTCCTGGGAGGTTGAACTACATAGCTGCCCCCCCTCCCTTCTTCAAGGCCTTCGAGCTGGGACCATGTTGCACAGATGCCTGGAGCTCTCAGCCACACAAAGAGCCTCCTCACACGGAGAAGCCTTGTACCGTCTTTTATCACTCTGCTCTTAAAGGCCCGTTTTTTCGTTTCACTGTGCTGCTCTTGATTTCCTTCTTCTGCACTGAAAGGTGTGTCTGTTTCACGCCGTCCGTTTCCTCTGAGGTCACGGTGCTCAAAGACGGGTTGGGTTCAGAGTTCAAAGATCTCCGCCGAGCTTCTTATCTACTCCTACCAGACAGCCTTTTCATTCCCCACTTCCTGACATCATGAGGTCTGCTCCTTGTACGGGCATTTCCTCCACTTGATGTGCCGTACCCATAGATCCAATCTGCTCATTGGTGCCATAAAGAGGCAGGGGTGCAACAAAAGGATTGATAAACTCCCACACAACTCGAGGAAGTGGCCCTGATGGCTGTTTACAGGCCTTATGGGTGTGCCATCTACCTTTATAAAAAGTCCCCTTTTGGATGTAACCAGGTTATGTGAAATGAATGGCTTGTTTGTTTGCCTGGGACATATTTTCTCGGCCTAATCATGCGCATGACAATCCCAGCTGCAGATAAGTGAGTTATTTCTTCCTGGAGCAAGCCAGCTCCTTCAGACAACCCGTCTGCTCGCCATTGTCACAGTTGTGATGAATCGCTGGCCCATGAGGCTTGACCGGAGGGGGCGAGGTCATAAATCATTTGCACCGAGAGTAATCTGCTCTCTGCGGTGTGTGCATACCGAGGACTTTAAGTGTGAAAGTGTGATAAAGTAGCAAAGTAGGAGGTAAGCTAAAAGTTAAATTTTAGCTGAAGAGATGGAGAAGTTCAAGTTTACTTTCAAATCGCCTTTTTTATCCAACCAACTGAAAGAGAATCAGTTTCACATCATTGGAAACAAAGAAAACCAGGAAATGTTTACATTCAAAAGCAAAAGCATGATCATTTTTGGGGGCATTTTTAGCCACACTATGAATGACACTGTCGGCCTGTCGCTGGGTCGGTCCACCACTTTGGTCCAGACTGAAATAAACATCCCAACAACTATTGGAAGGATTGCCACAGAATTTGGGTCAATCATTCATGTTCCCCTGAGGATAAAATGTCTTAGCGCCATCCTCATCCGATCAAACTTTGAATTTGTCAAATACTTTGGTTCATGACTAAAATATCTGCAAAACTAATGACATTCCCATTAACCTCAACTGTACGTTGTGTTTAGAGCTAACTAGCTAATGTTAACACGCTTAACAAGATGGTGAACATGGTATCAATACATCTGCTAAACATCTGCATGTTAGCTTAGTCATTTTAGGCATGCTAGTGTTAGCATTTAGTAGAAGTAAAGCCTCATAGAGCAGCTAGCATGTCTGTAGACTCTTAGTCTTGCTCCATATAGAGATTCATGCTGAAGGCTCATTCAAAACATTTCTCATTTCACATTATCCTCTTATTTTCTAAGAACTTCCTCATGACATGGTTTTCTTAGAAAGTAAATACCCGATTGTCAGATGCATCTTTTAACAGTACTCTTCAGATAATCATGCCACCGGATTAAGAAGCTGCTTTGATCATAGCGGATGAACGATGATCCTTAGTCGCGCTAAAATCAGCGTGTTCCGTTTCTTTTTTTTTTTTAATGCTCCCCATTAAGCCTGCTGTCTGTCTGGGTTTAGCCACTCTGACGCGTTATGGAGAAACGTCTCGAAAGCCTCGCGGGACTCACGAGTTAATTACCTGCATTAATTAGTTTGGCACTTTAATAGGCTGGTGCCAGTGGCTGAGGGGGAACATCGCCGCGGCCCACAACACTGTGCTGTGATTTAGCAAAGCAGACGAGGACAGGTTACTGCAGAGCAGCAGCACACCCGTCATTTAGGAGATGCAGTCATACACAAAATACCACTCTTACCTAATGTGTGTGTGTGATGGCGTGCTTAGATTGGTGCCCTTTGGCTGGCGCTTATTAAAAAAGGTGAGCCTGCGCTGACGGAGCTTTGTCAGCATCCAGACGGATGGATGGGAGCACAAAAAAAAGGAGATGAGGTGTGAAGGAGGAGATGGATGGATGTAATTCAATAAAGCACCTCTTTGACGACTACGTCGTTGCTGTCCCCGTCTTTTATAAAGCCGACCTTATTTGTGTCAGCAGGCCATTAGCGGGGGGGAAGTGGCTGTGTGTGTGTGTGTGTGTGTGTGTGTGTAACCTATGAAAAGGTGTGAAATGATGATTTCCTGTTAAACACAATGTGACTTAACTCACCTGCAGACAATCGTGCATGAATTAAAACGTAATGATATTTTGTTACTCAAATCTTTCATTTAACTTTGGATTTATTTTATTATGGCAAATGCAGGCAAAACACCTCTAAAGTGTCACACTGATGTCCACTTCTTCTGCATTCATTAATTAAGTCATTAATTCGGACAACAGAAATTTGTACACGAGTAACATTTACATGGTTCTTTATATAAAATATTTTAAAAAGGTGAAGGAAACGAAGCAGTAAAAGTCAAATAGGTTTTTAAAGAGCAAGATACAATAAGATGAGATAAAAGTAAGAGATTTGACAGGAGATTCAAAGTGAAGTAATGAGTACTCCTCAATTGAAGCTAATAAAAGGCAAACGTTTTAAACAGACCTGAGAGCAGCAGGAGATCAGAAATACTTTTTGTCCCTCTAACCAATAGAAGTATTTTTAAATTCCATCACTTGACACACAGGGTGCCGAAACTCACTGCCCAACAGAGCATATAACAACCTCATGAGGTAGTTGATGATGCTGTGACGACGCCTCTCAAATGACTCCGAAGTAAAGCTTAAAAGTCCTATGTGCCAAAACCTGAGCCTGCCAGGATGCTAAGTAAACACTGCATTGTTGAAAGAGCCATGACTCACTCACCAAAACGGCGTAGGAGCGTTAACAAGGCATCTTATTTGGCTCCTTGGGGCACTACTTTAAAACCTGATCCCTCTTTAGTCGGTCACTCTGTGTGCTCTGCCTCCTCGCTGAAGGAATCCTAAGAGCCTATCACCTGAGTGGGAGCGATGTCATCGGCGTCATTGGATGCCGTAAATGTTTACCCGCCAGCATTTTTATAGCAGCGCCAGGCGTCCTCGGAGCGACAGCCTGCCGGGTTAAGCAGAGGGGCCGGAGATGGGAAAATAAATGAGCAGCGTGCATCTGGCAGCTGGCTGAGAGGAGCCACTGATGGGACGAGTGCCACTCACAGCCGTGACATGTACCTGTGAGAAAGGTCAGCGAGGTCTTTGACAGACACCTCGCTGCCATCTGCATGTGACCGAGTCCCCCCCCCCCCCCCCCTTATCATCAGCACACAAGCTCAACCCGCAGGGACAGCAGCCGGGCTGCAGTGACCTTTTAGCGAGCATCACTTTGTTGTTACTCAGTGAAAGGCTGGCTTTTTATCCGCTGTGTCTGCTGACATGCTGTGGGAAGTTTGAACAGCCTTTTAAAAAATTATTTTAAACACATTTTTATCCTGCAAACAAGGAAAATAAATAATGTAAAACGCAGCTCTCAATGCTCTTGCGAATAAAACTAAAGCAGAGTGTATTCACACCGACATGGAGGCAATTAATGCACAAAACAAGTACTTCAATTTGGCCCGACGGACAAAATGCGCATCTAAATTCGCATTCATAACTCAGTCAATCTGATTATAGATTTAGGTTTTAAAAGAACTCAAACAACTGTAATTTACTTAGTCCATGAAATAATACCTCCTGTTTCCATCCCCCAAAGCACCTAACATATGGGAACTGTAGTTCCAAAAGGAGTTTGATTAACTCCTAATTCAAAGCAAGACAATAAATACTGTTAACGTTTTCCTGCTGCACTGTCACACTGTTTTTTGATAGAAGTAGTTTTGTGAACCAATTCCCCACTAATGAACATATTTTGTAGCGCTATACAGCCAGATGGTACATTCATGAGAATGTAGTTTCCATCGCTGCCCTTAAAACATCTTTTATTTCAGTATGTAAACAGCCTGAAGTGTTTGGAGCGACGGCGCGTGAGAAGAGTCCCCGAAGCAGCGAAGCTATTTATTCCTGCGGCGGTTTATTTCAGACCCGTTTATTTCAGCCCGCGGTGTACGTTTCAGCTCTGACCCCACAGGCCCTGTTGGGATGATGTATGCACGGACGGGAATGCCAACAATGGACACCTTAAATCACCACGGGCCTGTTCAGATTGGACTTATGAGAACCATATGGACTACTGTTGAGTCAGACTCCGGCTCAGATGAATGGCATTCCTTTCCATACTAGGCGACGTGCTCTCATTTTCCGTTCCTCTCGCTTTCCACCTCTTGTTGCCTTTTTTTTTCCTCATAAATCTCTTTTACAAACCCCCCCCCCCTCCCCTCCTCCTCCTCTCCATCTCTGCTGCTGCTTCCCCAGAAACATTAATCTCAGTCGGAGTTGGCCGAGTCTACATCTCCTACTGCTCACTCTCAGATAAATGTACGGCAGATTGTATTCAGATATTAACTCGGCTATACGGCGAGTCATGAGTGGATACTGGGATTTAAGACTCGCAGCTCCCCGGAGACTTTCCCCTCTGCCAGGAAGCCGTGCGTATGGTTCCTATTTTTGAGCCCCATTAATGAACCCAGTGTGGCGATAGTGGTGCGCGGGGGCAGAAGAGGAGCGCCGGGCTCAGGGAGGGACATTCCAAGCATTCCTCAGTCTGTCTGACGCAGCGTGGAGGTCTGCTTTTAGAGGGGGAGGGGGGGAACACTGGAATTAGGAGGTGTGGAGGGACTGATTAGTACTGACGGGAAAAGAGGAGGGACAATGTGCTACAAAAGAAAATTAAACAGGGGCAAAGGTGTGTGTGTGTGTGTGTGTGTGTGTGTGTGTGTGTGTGTGTGTGTGTTTCAGGCAGTAATCCGTAGCCTGTCTGCACCACAGTGTAAAATGTTTTACAGGTGTGTTAAATCAGACAGCACGAAGCGTTCGGGTTGTTCATCACTACCAATGATGATTACTTCACCGGGTTTAAAAGCTCATAATCCAGCCAGCACTCCGATAAAACGCTCTCACGCTAAATCACAAAGCATTTCCTTGAGGTTTAAAGTGCCTTACCGTTTTCACAAAGCACTGCTGAAGCTTTACTTTGGCCCATTCATAAAGATACAATAAAATAAATCACTCAACTGAGTCAGTTTTACGTTTTATTTAGTTTTTATTAGTTATTTATTGAGATATTTTGTTTGTTTTCCAGTAGAGCACTTGGCTGAAATAGCAGTTCTATATTTGCTTCTTTATGTCCTTGTAAATTAAATATTTTTGTCTATTTGATTGTTGGTCAGAAAGAAAGAAGAATATCTTTGGGCTCTGAGAAATTGTGTTGGCACTTTCTTTTTTTTATCTGACATTTTACTGACAAAACAATGAATTAATTAAAATATATATATTTTTTGTATTTTAGCTTTTACCAGAAATGAACCACTATAATGATGTCAGGAGGGTTCTGTTTGTACTTTGTGATTCAAAGTATTTGTCCTGAGCACTGCTGTGTCCCAGGTGTCGTTTATTTTAGACAGCAGTTCTAAATGTTTGTGCCCCTCCCCACTGTGATCGGACAGGTGGTGACCCCAACCAGAGTGGGACAGTCCTACACCTTCAGCCCCGGCCAGCACAACCAGCAGGACCTCTATGATGTCCCACCCAGTAGATCACAGGGGGTAAGTGTCTCATGTTCCCACAGCACGAACTGTTTACCAGTATGACCTGCTAGTAAACCAATGGGGATAACCACTAGTGTTCATTGTTGATTGATTTCAGAGGGATTTAAGTGGAATTGATCAATACATGATAAAAGCCCTAAAGGAAAATATAAGTCAAAATAAAATGTCCAAAGTCAATATTTGCCCATAAAAGAAACAAATCAGCCCAGTGCTATGTTTTAGAGATTAGAATGTGTTTTCAGACATCCACAGGTTTCTATTAATATCCATACATAAAAAAAATAATTTTGCAAATTCTTGAGACTTTCTTTTGAGTTGTTTAATCAAATTGGTTAAAGTTGTATTATCGAGGTTCACTGTGGCAGAATACAGAACTCAAAGCATGCAAAGACACTAATATGGCTCTTTAAATAAGTTATAGTTTTGTGGATATAAAACTAAGAAAATGTCATGTATGCAACTTTTGCTCTGATCCACTACTGTTAGGCATAAACATTTCTTTATAGAAACAATAATTCAAAACGTCAGCAGTCAACGCAGCAGTAATAGTTTTTGACAGATGCAGTGTGAGGTTTGTATTTGTCAGAATGAGAATGCAGCTTCTTTGATCTTCAGCATGTTCCGTATTTTATTCTGCCACACATCCTGTTCTCTGCACGGACTGTATTTTCTCAGAAAGGATCTTTGACTGTAATACTTTTCTCCTGTAATCTATCTGCAGCGCTGTAGCTCATCGAAAAAAAGCTACTTCTAATGTTGCATGATGCATTATTTAAAGCACAGCAAGTGGAGAGTCTACAAAATAAAAGACTGCAATTGATCAGATAAAACCAGTGATCAGAACTCGTACTACAAGTCAACTGGTATTTATATTCTGCTTGTGTTTTCAGGTGTACGATATTCCTCCCGGTCAGATGTTTCCTGGCGCCAGAAACCAGGGAGTCTACGACGTTCCTCCGTCTCAGATGGACCTCAGGACGCAAGGCGTTTACGACGTACTTCCCTCTTCTCAAGGGGTAAGCAGGCCTTCCACCACAATGATCGGTCACACGTTTCAGTCGAATACAGTTTGACTTGGCAAAGCGGTAGCTGCTGAAGTTATTTATTGACACAGTCGCTGGTATTTCTCTTAATTGTCTGCGATAAATGAATACGTCAAAATGTCATATTTGAGACGTTCTTGCGGCGGCACTAAAGGACAGCTTTGCCTGCCAGAGTTTAACCAAAAGCTCTGCGAGTGGTTCTGCATCTGAGCTTGAAAAAAATAAAAAATAAAAAAGGCCATATAGCTGTTCTCTTTCCAGACCCTCTAAGATTTCTGCAGACCTCCATCCCCGACCAGGCAAAGAGCCATCTGTGTGTTTGTAATGAGCTGAAATCCGCCTGGACGTGTTATTTGCGTCGTTCTTGAATACGGTTTTGGGCGGGCTCGTCTCGCTGTAACGAGTGCGTTTTAAAATTGATGGAAATCACTTACAGGCCGCCGTTTCATTCTGCACGCTTCACACGCTCTGCCTGGTCAACCAGCGGCAGGTTCAAGCTTTGTGCTACTCCGCCTTAGACGGAGGAATCCGAGCACAGAAACATTGAGGTTTCTAATATAGCATCTACAGATAGCCAGGTGGCCTCTCACTTCCTCAGCTGTATCCGCTGAAAAGCCGCCAACATTCAGTCGACTTCTGCCAGTCAGCTGATTTCTTAAATGTCATGGTAACTGGAACGCAGATTTCTGAGAATCTCATTACTACAAGTAGAAGACTGCAGACTGGTAAAGTAACAGCAGAGAGACCGGATGAGAGGAGACATCATTGCATGAAGTGCTCGTATTTAAAAAAAAAAAAAGAAAAAAAAAAAAGTTATTTATATATATTTTAGTCAGCCCAAAGTCAGACTAAAACTGTAACCTCTAAACTAAACTAGTAGCCTGGGGACAGAAGACTTTGTTTGCAATGTGATATAAGAACAAAAGCTTCTTACAAGTCCATGTGGGCTTTTATGACACAATAAATAAACACAAACGCAGAGATTGTGAATTTGCACCAATGCTTTACTTCTCCCTGCAGATCTACTCGGTGCCCCCCTGCAGGACCAACCCCGCCCTCCAGGAAGGGAACTACGACTTCCCGCAGCCTCTCAAGCACAAGCAGGAGGGCATCTACGACGTACCTCCCCCGGCCCTCACCAAACCCACTCAGAGCCCCCAGTCGCACTACGACTTCCCCCCCACGATGGAGCCCCCCGCCCATCACCAACACCTGAACGGCAACGGCAACGAAGGCATTTACGACGTGCCTCCGTCCGCCCTCCACTCCGGGGCGGGGTCACAGAGCGACGTGTACGACGTCCCGCGGGGCATGCAGCCCCCGCAGCAGCACAGGACCTCGCCCGCCGACCGGGACGGAAGCAAAGGTGTCTACGACATCCCCGCTCAGGACACCCGCGCCGTCGCAGACGTGACGGACGGCGTGAACCGCCTGTCCTTCTCCAGCACCGGCAGCACACGCAGCAGCATGTCCACCTCTTCGTCCTCCACGGTCTCCGAGGGACGCCTCGCTCTGGACGTGGACGCGGCTGTGCAGCGGCTGTGCCGCCTGCAGCAGGCCGTGGAGGCCTCGGTCGGCGCGTTGCATTCGATGGCAGCTTCCCCTCACTGGAGGACTTTCCCCTTCATGGAGCGCCACGCCAACGACGTCCGCACGGTGTTGGACCGGGTCCGCGCCGCCCTCGGGGACTTTGTCGTGTTCGGCAGAGGGGCTGCGGCAAACGCCACGGCTCTGTCGGACTCCAGCCTGCACAGTAAGCTAAGGCGGCAGCTGGCGCGCCTGGAGGACTCGCAGCAGATCCTCCTGCAGATCTACCAGGTGCTGGAGAGCTGCAGCTGGGCCCTGAACACGCTGGCGTCCGCCGGCAAGCACCACAACAAGAGCGACGACCTGGACCGCTTCGTCATGGTGTCCAGGACGTTGCCCGACGACGCCAAACAGCTGGCCTCCACGATAGGCAGCAGCGCCGAGCTCCTGTTCAGGCGGACGCATGCCGACGGGTCGTCCTCCATGGGGAGCACACCAGAGGAGAGCACCGTCCACCCGCTCACCTCACCCTCGTCCGATAACGACAACTACGGAGGCCAGACTAAGCCCTTCCCTGTGCCCTCCGGCCAGGACAAAGACAACATGAACAACAGCGAGAAGTGTGTGAAAAGCTGGATGGAGGACTACGATTACGTACACCTGCAGGTAAATCCTCGGGGGGAGAAACGTCCAGGCTACGCAACGTTTCGTTTGTAGTGCTTTCTTTAAAAATGTTAACATTCTGTGCAGTCTAAGTGATACTTTTAGGCCATCGATGTAAGCCCTTGGGTCTGGTCCATTTGTGTGGAACAGAATGTATTTTTAAATACTAGAAGTGTAGAAATGTTTAAATCCTCTTCATAGGGGTTGTATTTAAAGCATGTCTCGTTTCTGGGATTGTCATGTCATTTTTATATCTAGAGACTTTCTGTTACAAATCTTCAATAGTTTATTTATTATTCCTTTATATCCACCGACTTTATACTACTGAGTATGTTGGATGTATGAGAAAGTTCAAACCCGGGCTGTGTGAGTACCTCTGACCTCTTCTCACCTCCTCGTCTTCCTCCGCAGGGCAAAGAAGACTTTGAGCGTCAGCAGAAGGAGCTGTTGGACAAAGAAAACATTATCAAGCAGAGTCAAGTCCAGCTGGGCCAGGAGCAGGTGAGGTTCTTTACTTTGGCACAGACATTGTTGCACTGGATTCTCTGTTATCACATCATGCATATTTATGTATTCATATCGTCAGACACACACACAGATGTTGACCTTCAGGGTCTCGTGGGTGAGGCAAACATTTGGAGCCTTTTTGACTGTTGGCAGTAGGGCTGCAGCTAACGATAATTTTCATAATCTGCAGCTCATTTTTGCGATTAATTAGTGAATGAAACGATTGTTTTTATTCGGCCGAGAGTCCAAAACACTGTGGTTTTCCTACTTTTACTTAAGTTAAAGATGCAGGTACTTCTTTCACAAGCGAGGTTGGAAAATAATCTTGAATCCTGTCGCCCCCCCGCAGATCAACCAGTTCAAGAAGCTGGAGCAGGACGTGATCAAACCGGTGGAGAACGACGTCACGCAGTGGATCTCGCATCAGCACGCCGGCTCGACCTCGGCCCCCCCCACCACCACCACCACCACCTCGGACTTGCCCTCCGCCCGAGTGTGCGCTCGGGACCGCCAGCTGCTCGGCTTCTACTCCGAGCAGTGCGGGCAGCACTTCGCCACGCTCCTCGGCGCCGTGGACGCCTTCTTCGGCTGCGTCGGCACAGGGCAGCCCCCGCGCATGTTCGTGGCGCACAGCAAGTTCGTCATCCTCAGCGCCCACAAGCTGGTCTTCATCGGGGACACGCTGTCCAGGCAGGCCTCGGCGCCCGAGGTGGCCAACCGCGTGATGAACTCCAGCAACGTGCTGTGCGACCTGCTGAAGACGGTGGTGGCCGCCACTAAAACGGCCGCCCTGAACTACCCGAACACGGCCGCCATCCAGGAGATGGTGGACAGGGTCACCGACCTCTCGCATCATGCTCAGCAGTTCAAAGAACAGTTGCTGCAACTGGCCAACTTGTGACTTTCACCCAGGAGACAGACTCTATGTGTACATTAATCTAGTACAAATATATATTTACAGTATATGTATATTGCTCATCTTTAAGTTTTGGATGTAAATAGTATCCGTTCTGTGTATATATGCTCTATTTTTGTGTAGATGTTTTATATTATGGTATGAAGATATGTGTAGGTGTCTGTAGGATTATGTAGACTTTTTTCATAACATTCCTGTCGCATATTACAAAGCGCCCTATGAGATGTCCGGTGTGTTTCTTTTCCCTGTAGAGTGTTGTCTTACTGCTGGGTGTGACAGTAAATCTCCTTGTAAATCACGTTAATGTTCAGTATATGTGTGTGCGTGTGTGTGGAGCTCTCCACAGAGTAAAGGATTGTTCTTAACCACGTGAATGCGTCCTTTATTTTTGCTGACATAACAGATTTGTTATAGCTGAAGAGAAATACCTATGATAAAGTCAGAGGTATGGTATATTTTTCTTTGCGTTAAATAAAAGTTGTCTTGGATGTTAGTAAAGGTCAGTCAGACGGCCTTTTTTAAGCAAAATGGGGTTTTGAAGATCTGATTTTTTGGGGGACTAAAACCAATGAAGGAAATGCCAATTAAAAATGATCTAAAAATATTGCTAACATTTAATGTTCCTTCACAGAAATGTATTCATGTCAGGGTGAACACTTTTTAGATCACCATAGTGGCAATTACAGTACACTGAAATTCAAAGTCATAAGCTTTTTATTTTGCTACAGTGTGATGAAGGCCATGCAATGCAGCTGAAAGCTCTGGAAAAAGAAATCACATAAGATTGATATTGAGAATGAAAGTGGAAATGGTAGTCTGACCAAAAAAAAAAAAAAAAGCACTCAAGGTCTACGAACTTTTTTACCCAGAGCTTTCAACTGTATCTCGTGATCTTCAGTGGATGGAGTTTGCCCAGTTGCCTTATCAAGTTACAGCAACGAAAAATAGCAACTACTCAAAACAAGTATGAACTTTCACACTGAAATATACATTTTGTATGTGCAGCGTTTGCTCGGTTGTCATATCAAGCTGTTGGAAAAATCGAATAAGTGGACCTTGAGTTGAGATCTCTTTTTGTCAAATTGTGGTCTTCATCCACAGATGGTGTTTGCTTAGTGTCATGTCATTTGAGTTAATATTCTTTAAAAACAGTTTGGGAGCTTTGGTGCAGCCATCCATGCAACTGAAATCTTTTGTAAGGTCACAAGGGTATTTTTTTTAAGAAGAGGATCAGTAAAAGAGTGCCGGTGCCAAAGAAATTATTCTTCCCTTTGCTTGGGGAACATTCGATATGACACATGGAGAATAATGAGGGACGAGAGGCTGCGGTACATGTGTTCTCTGGACCGTGAGAAACATCGTCAGAGTGACTCCGATCAGCTGCAACAACGCATTCTCTCTGCTTCAAAGTGGAGAGAATTGATCGAATGCACACAATCAGCCTCATGGGAACATAAAGTACTGTCAGCAGCCATGGTGACTGTAGGATACAACTTTAAAAAAAAAAACAGTGTTCACTTGCCCCTCTTTCATTATAACCTGAGCAAAATATATAGTCTCTCCCTGTGGAGAAGAGGCGGCTTTATAGACAGATTGATTGTGTGAAGAAGAGGCGACCGCAGTGAGACTTCAGCTCTCAATCAGAAAATCCCATTAAAAAAAAAACAATCCTCACAGGCCGGCACTTACGAAGCACCCCAACTGTTTTTATTGTTGGCTGCATCCCACTCGGAGCTCTCCGGGGAGATGAGAAGGAAAGGAATTCGCAACGACTTTCAAAAACAAAGTGCAGACAGACACGGTAAATCAGGAGACGTCAGGTCCGTTTTACAAATCTGTTTTTGACATATTCTCTTCTAATCTGCTCCACAAGGAGAACAGGAACTACTATTTTTTGTAGGCCGATTATTTTTATCCCAAAATGAAAGTGACAAACACATTAATCCATTAATGACTATAATCCAGAAATGGCCCATTCTGTATAATGAGTACTTTTAGTATACATTTGTACTCTAATACTTTTAGTTGAGTAAGATTGTGAATGCAGGACTTCTACCTCAGTATTATAAAAAGCAGAAAGACCTGAATACGTCTCCCTCCACTGCCTCTCAGGACACATTGTGGCTCTCAACAAGGGAGAGGAACAGCTTTTGGCTGATTAATGCTGGATGGACGACTTATTCTAGACCTGGCAGCTCTAATGGATCCACTCCTGGTCCTGTGTGCGTTTTGTCACCGGGGGCAGCGTGCCACACAATAAATCTTCGGTTTACCACAATTGCACGAGGTACTGCGCGAGAGCTGAGGCTGCGTTTTTTCCGCTGAATCCCCTGGAGCGGTTGTCTCCGTGCTCCCCGATGAGATACCGTCTCGCCCGGGCTGAGAGACAGCCAACAGGTGTGGGGGGGGGGGGGGCTGCTGAGGTGGAAGTTTAGCAGCGAAGAGATCCAAGAGTGTTGCAGCTGCTCACCTGTTTGTCGAGTGAACAAACAGGCGAAAGGTCATCGGAGAGGTAGTGTGTAATACCTGCAACCAGCAACAGGAGCAAAGCTCGACTCCTGCTGTTTATACACACACATATACAGTATACATATACATACATACATACATACACACACACACACACGCACACACACACGCACACACACACACATAGTGTGAGAGAGAGTTAGAGCACTGCAGAGTCGATGTCATTTCCTTGGTTCACCACAATCATTTCCTGTAAAGTATTTGCAGGCTCTGAAATTACAGCTTGGTAGCTCAGCAGGGCCTCCTTTTCTCCTTCCTGAAGAAGCTGCTGCCCAGCTGCAGGCAGAGACGAAACATCATTAGGACGAATAAAAACTACCAGGGAAGGCTCGCCCTCAAAGTCGATTAACTGTATTAACTGTAAAGGGCGGTTTCTTAATTTTCTGCACGCGTTTCCAGCAGACGGGGGTCGAGTGCATTCTCAGCATTCGACTCAGTCACACCACAGTGAAATGTATCAATTACCGCACTTCAAGATGATGAAGATGCATGTCTACTTGCCGTGTGATTAGATTTGATGTTCTTGCAGTGGTGGATGAAGTACTGCAGTAGAAGGACTCAAGTGAAAAGTCCTGCATTAAAAACAATGGTTAAAGTATCGTCAAAATATACCTAAAGTACCAAAACTAAAAGTATTCCTCGAGACAAATGGCCTGCATCAGAATGACATATTATTGGATTGTAATTACTTATGCATTCATTGTAGTGGAGTAGAAGTATAAAGTAGCAAAAACAATAGTACACCAGAATTGTACTCAAGTACAGTACTTGAGTAAATATATTTAGCTGCTGTGTTTTAGGGGTTTTCCATGTTATTTAACTGCAAATCTAAAGTTAAAACTGCATGTAGAAGATAAGTTTGTTGTTGCAGTTGTGAGTGAAATGAACATTTGAGTTTCAAAAGAGCTGACTGATGCAGAAAAGGGTCTTTAAAACAAACAAAAAAAGCAATCTCTGGGGAAATTAACGACATCTGAACTTTAAAAAGGGTCCAGATGGATAAGGTAGCTCAATGTATTCCTCTATTCTCACTGTGCTGCATGTTTGCAGTCACAATCATTGCATCCTGGCTACCAGCACTTTTTGGCTAATGACCCTCGGGGCTGAAATGGATTAAGCCTCGTCAAAGATTAAAACGGTCTTTTTAAAAGCTAGACGGGCTCAAATTACATTATACATACAGTAGATTAACTCACTGCATTGACTTCTGGAGGGGGGGGGGGGGGGCATTTATGGAGGCAATCAGAGCCAGTGGAGCTTAAAGGGCACAGAGACAAGTTGGCAGAGGAGTCACAGCCTTTGTGTTTTTTAGCATTATATTTTTGGGATGTTTCAGCATCCGTTTCCTTCTATGATTTTTTACGAAAAAACAAAAAACATGTGTTCCAGAATATTAAAGCAACTTCCTGAACTGATGAAAGCTAAAAGAAATATTCATTATTCATTTTGTCTCTTTACACCTGTGGGTCATAAAAAGGTCAAAACAGAGTTTTATTTTCAAACTGGTTTTGAGTGAAAACAAATAAAACAGATCCAGGGGTAAGGATGTATTCTTTGAATAGACTACAGACCATAATATACTGATGATAGGACATGTACCTTCTTGCTCAGTCGTTCAGTGCTGTTATGGTTTGTCAGGCAGCTGTTTTCCAGCAGTGCTACACTGCCACCTCGTGTTTAAACTCTAGGATGTCAAGAACAACTCAGACTACCATTACAGCGTGCAGACTTCACCAAATTATGTCTGATAAAGTTATGTTGCACTTTATGCTACTTTGAGGTTCTCATACTTTACTTAGTATATTTCCATGTTCTGCTACTTTATACTTTTACTCCACTCCGTTGCAGCGTTATGCTAAAATCGTTTATTTTATTTTATTTCCCCCTCCCCTCGTCAATCTACACTCACTACTTCCTAATGTCAGAGGATTTTTGCAAATGAATTTAAAAGAAAAATTGAAATATCACATTGACATAAGCATTGGTGATATTTCTCCTTTTCTATTAAGTATTCAGACCCTTAATGTAGTTAAGTGAAGCATTGGCTTCGGCAGCGATTACAGACCGTTCTGCACACCTGGATGTAGGGTTTCTTTCCTCTGCAGATCCTCTCTGGCTCCGTCAGGTTGGGCGGTCATTTTCAGATCTCTCCAGAGATGGTCAATTGGGTTCAAGGCCCGGCTTCCGGCTGGGACACTGAGAAACGTCAGCGATGGCCGTGTCCTTCTGGAGGTTTCTTGGCCAGTTTCGCCGGGCGGTCCGCTCTAGAAAGGGCTCGTGGTTCTTCCATCAAAAAAATAAAATAATATGGAGGCCACTGTGTACTTGGGAACCTTCACCCAGTCTGTGCCTCCTCGAGACGACCCGTATCTCACCTCACGGCTCACTTGTGCTCTGACTTGCATCGTCAGCCGACCGTTACAGCAACAGGTGTGTGCGCGCGCGTTTGCCTTTATAAATCACGTCTAATCAGTTGAATTGATCACAGGTGGACTCCAATCAAGAAGAAGAAACGTCCCGAGTGTGACATCATAAATATTTGCATCAAATTCTGTTTTCACTCTGACGTTGTATTGAGTGTCGATTGTTGTGAAACAATTAATTCACTTTTCTTTTTGCACACAACCAACAAAACGAAAATGTGGATATATACTTTCAGTGTAGTTTGAGGCAGTTTATCAAGTATTTTTGTGTGTATGTTTATTACACAGAGAATGTATAGCCAATATTAAAAAAAAAAAAAAAAAAGAAAAAGTACTTTGAACCATGAATCCCATTTCCCAAAAAACAGACTCATATTCGTGACGATATTTATTTGAAGCTACTGCTCCACTGAAGAAGAAAAGAAATCACTGCTGATTAAAAAAAAAAAAAAAAAGGTGCAACAGTTACATGAGTTTTACTTGGAGGGAGGATAATACATACATATTGATTAGGTCAGCATTGATTTTGCCCTGTAGTGATAAAACAAGCTACTGTGGGCTGTACAAAAAGGAGGCCATGTAACAAACAGCGGATGCCATCTAGACAGGCACTGGTGCAGACGGAGGCACGGGGAACGGGGGAGGGCTAACATTGTGTATTATACACCAACAGTTCCTTGAAACGTTCTCCCGTCTCCTCTTCAAGTATAAATCGATAAAATAAAATTTAAAAAGGGTGAAGGAGAAGTTGCAAGAAAAAGGTCACATTTTACACAACTGGAATAAAGTTATTCGCCCTCTTCGTCTTGGAGGCTTTGGCCGTTATCTACTGGACGAGGCAGTTTTTCACCTCGTGGATGGTAGTACGCAGAGCTTACTGTGTGAGAAACAACAAAATGACAGCGTAAACATTCATTTCAGTGCACTTTTGTTAAAGAAAAGAAAACTGTCAGTTGTACAAATCCCCATTTCAGTTTGTCTTCAGTTGTTCTTGTTGAGCTCATTGTTTTCCTTTTTTGTTTTTTTTACATTTATCTGCTTAACGTTGTACAAAGTAGGACTTCATTCTGTTGAAAACACAAGATTAAAAACACGTACGTTAAAGAGAGTTAACACATCTCTCTTTGTGTGATGGAGCATCTTCACACTCCACGTGGGTGGCAGGAAGCAGCGCGGTCGCTCGTGAGAGCCGGCTTGTCACTATTGCAGGAAAACAGGAGGACCAGACTCGCTGCTCAGAATATAATTAAACATGTGAACAGGTGACAGTAATGGCTTTTCCCTTTTGATCACAGGAGATCTGCCTGGTCAGTTTAAAGTGTCTTGGTGAAGAGGAGGGCTGACTACCGAGTGTACACAAGGTCCTTGTGTAGTGTAGAGCGCGGGGGGGGGGGGGGGAAGAGTACCTTCTGATGATCACGTTTGTAGAGGGCCGACGGGCGGCCGCGGTGAGACGGGGGTTATGATTGAATACGCAGTAGGTGATCTATGAGGTGCTTTCCGCGAAGGCGACTCTTTGGCGTGCGGTCCTGGGCCGACTTCGCGTCGGGGCGCTCGCTGTGCGTTCGCTCTTGGTTTCGGACGGCTGCGGTTCGGCCTGAGGGGTGCTGCCGTCCCCGACGAGTTCACGCAGGAACTTGAACTTGGACAAGAAGAGCTGCCAGACTACATACCAACCTGAGGGGCAGAGAAGGGAAACAAAATAGATATTTACAGGCGTAAAATAAAGGCACTCTATAAACCACAGGGGTCCCTCATGTAGTAACATTACATTTAGTCACAGAGGGAAGCATGTGTTTTCTGCTAAATAAATATCCTCCAATCTTTCAAAATCAAAAAAGGTCATTTAACATTAACCAGTTTTGAAGGTATTTCAAGAATCTTAAAATATTGTATTTTGTACCTTGTGTATGTATTTGTTGATGTATACCGTTTCTATTTTCTTTTCATTATTATTTTAAAAGGCCTCCTATTGACAGGTGTTGAATATTAGCCTTTCGCTAGAAACAAGATTTGCTACCCATTTTCCTAAACTGTCTTAATCCAAACAAAGACAGCAGCTTCCTTACTGAACTTGTACAACGTGAAGCAAATGTAATAGATTAAACAACCCAACAGTATGTAAAGTAGTTAAAGTTAGCTCCACCCCGACCAACTATGAGGAGTCCCACTGATGAGTGTATATTATTACATCAATGACACAATTATATAACAATCTGGGGCCAATCTGCTAAAGATGTACTTTTACTTTTGATACTTTAACTACATTTGCTGGTATTATTTCTACAGTGTGGTATTGCTAAATAATTTGAACACATCTTCCACAGTTGACAAAGAGTCTTTCAGGAGTCTGGAAATACCTTCAAAAACAATGTTAAGTTTTTCAAAGAACACAAACAGCTACTTTGCTCTAGAACTGGTACCAGTAATGGTTTTGCTTAAGAGGCACAAACTGGAGCTAGGGGAGCCCCCCCCCACATGTCATAGGTCTCCGTCTCTCCCAGCTCCACCTGGTCATCTGGAGCCGGTCTACCCAGTTAAAGATGACCAGGATCAGGCAGAGGAGGGAGAGATGGAAAACAAGCAGCGCTGGAGGCGTAAGAGGAGCAGTCATGGTTATGTTCTGACTTCTCCTCTGCGCAGGATAAAAATAGCAACTCCTTACTTAAATCAAAACTTGCCTGTCAAAGACATTCAATACACTCAGACCAGTCATACAAGGAATAGTTGGACATTTAGGACGAAAATGTTCAATTATTATAAGAGTTCAGACAATGTATCAGCTATTGTAGCCTCTGATAAGCTAGCAGATGTGTGCCCAAACAACAAAATCAACTGATGACAACAGTTAAGGTCAATCGGCTACAATATGGCTTAGGGAGTTAGCTTGTTACGTGTAAGTAGATGTGTTCTTTAAACTCACCAAACAGCATGAAGAGCAGCGCACAGACCAGTGTGGCCACAATGACCAGCAGTGTGAGCCCGACACTTTGCCACATCTTAGCTGGACGCTTGAAGGCAACAACAGCATATGGAGGTGGCTGCGGTGTGTTTTCTGCTTCACACACAAACACAACCACGTTGCTGGCTAGCTGGGTTAGCCGCCTGGCAGCTGCGTTAGATAGCTAGCCTTAGACGAGAGAGAGAGAAAAACAAACACATCGCACACCAGCTCGGCTGCTAGCGTCGGGCTAGCTAAGTTAGTTAGCTAGCTGGTTAACAAACGGAGCCGCAGTAGTTTCACAGACGGACTGTAGCATTAGCTAACGTTAGCTTGTCACAGCAGGGTAAAGGCCTTCTTCGGTGTGCTACATAACTGCAACATGTATTTGATAGTTATGAGACAGAGCAGCAGAAACTAACTAGGTTAAGACAACAAATTCAGCGTCATGAAACCGATTCAAACTGCGCCTGCGCAAGTTGCATTTGACTCTTGGGTAGTGAAGTTTATTTGAGATTTAACCTGTAGTTTTAACTCTGTGTCCTCACTATCTTCTCCTTTTAGAGTAATCAGTAATGTTCAGAGTAAAACACAGAATTAACAGCATATATATAGAATATATAAAATACAGTTCAGCAGACTAGAAATATATGAACTGTATTTTTAAAGTTTAAATCACATTATTATCCTTCAGAGGGTTTCATATGGGCTTGTCACCACTTTATTAGGAACTATAGCCATTATTTTGAAATGGGTTTTTTTTGAACAAAAAAAACTGATCTGATCTCTGTCTTCCAAATACTACCTCTCCCTTTTGATAAATAGATGATATAGTTGAAATCTTAGCGTTACATCATCAAAGTCATACATACAACATAAAGAGGATAAGATAAGAGAATAATAAAAACATAAAGAAGTAAAGTCTTAGGCAAGGCAAGTTTATGTGTGTAGTGCCTTTCAAAAGCAAGGCAATACAAAGTGCTTTACATATCAACTTTACTGTAAAATGCATGAAAGCACTATTGCATTTATTCAAAAATCCAGCAGGAGGAGTCATCATCAAACATCTGTAACCCCGTGAGTAGATTCCAAATAGAACGTCCCTTTTCTAGCAAAGCTGTTTTGTAGGTGCAGCTGATGTTTTCATGTATTCTGACACTTCTCACACATTAAACTGCAGCGTGAGAAGTCACACAAGACGCTCCCACCTTTGCTGTTACACTCTCTGCAGTTGAACAGCATTTGAATGAGGCTTCGAAGTGGATAAAGTAGTAAAGAAGTATTACAAATACTCCACTACAAGTAAAAGTCCTGAATTCAAAATGTTACTGAAGTAACAGTACAGATTGTCATCACAATGTACTCAGCGTATCAAAAGTAAAATTTCTCTAATGCAGAAGTGTTAAAGTATTAAATTACTCTATGTATATATAGATATATTTTAGATACTTTATATATCACTGGGCAGAGGTGGGACCAGCACATTGTTTTGCAAGTCCCAAGTCAAGTGTCAAGTCCTGAACTTTGAATTTTAAATCCTAAACGAGTCCTAATGTCTTCTTCACAACAACAGAGTAAGGATATATGAAATTCCCCAAAAATATGAATTGCTTTGGGAAATTGATGTACACGTTTGTTGAAACCAGTGCGACTTAACTTAATCAGAAAAAAAACTCGCTGGGAATGAATATTGTTAACATTTATTTATGAAATTAATTGATTCATGATCAAATGGCTCAAGTCCAAGTGAAGTCGCAAGTCTTTGGGGATTTTTTTCAAGTCGTGTCTGAAGTCATCAAAATGCTTTGTGTTTCAAATAAATGCATTGAAATAAAAAAGCACAATATATCCCTCAGAAATGTAGTGGAGTAGAAGTATAAAGTATAGAAAAAAACAGAAGTACTCAATTAAAGTACAAGAATGTCAAAATGTATATATTTATACTTAAGTACAGTACTGAGTACATGTACTTGTTCATTTCCATCACTGTGTGTTTCAATGGTAGAGCAGAGAGACAGCTGTGGATGTCAAATTTGTCGCTGTGCTGAATACGGCCTTTCCACTGCTGAGGAATTATAGGAAGTAGGGAGAACTTTATATTACAAGATTTATACAGTTTTTTCAGGTTCACCCCGTCATTCACTCTCATTCCTCTTCTGAACTCCAGGACCAGTAAGTCAGGACCGTGTGCTTTTGCAGTGGAGTGTAGCCTTCCACATAAACCAGCCTCAGTATTTGCATATTATACTACAGCTCAGTGAGAACACAAGTCACTCTTCAAGATGTCATTTTAAACCTGTGTAATTAGAACAGTGTGTCTAAACAAGGCATGTGAGTCCAGCCCAGACTACTGAAAGCCCAAAGATGTCTTTTCTCTGTTTGGTATAAAGGATTTTACCTACTAGATGATTATTCTCAGGGATTTCATAACAGTTATAACCGCAGGCTGTATGTAAATTAAGAATTATCACTTGCAGCTCCTCTCCAGTTTAGAAAGCTTAAAAGTGAATATCAGCTCGTTGTTTATCTGTCAACTTGACTGTTTTGGCTCATTCTCCCCGCTCTCATAGCGCCAAACAGCACACAGACACAGTTAGAGACTAGTTCTGTGAACATAGTGGAACATTTAGCAGCTAAAGAGTGAGGTATTTCCCGCAGGAGTTGGTGGAGACCAAATGCAGAGCTAAAAGGAGAGTGAATATGGGACTTACATTCATCAGGTGAACACACAAACATGACTCCAAATGAATGATAATGTTGCACCGTAACTGCTGGATGAGCAAATAAACAATTGTTTGCCAACAATCTTTGCAATATCAATTTAAAGAATGTTCTGTTCACAACTTTCTGCTGCCCATGTGAAGTGACTTAAAAATCAGTTATTGTTGTTTAAAAACAGAAAGAGTTGGCGTCCTGTTTATAAAAAAAAAAAGTGCTACAGATTAGTATCTCCACAAAGTTCAGCTGGAACCTCAATAAGATTAAACATAGGGGGTTTCCACTGTTCCATTTCCGTTAAAGAAGTTCATTTTCACTTTTTTTTTTCCAACTATAGCTTTGAAATAAATGTAGTGGTGTTTTCAACTTGGGCCTATATGCACTCATACATTATTATTTAACACGTTAAAAGTGCATCTTTATGTGGCCCTCTTATACTATGTTTTCATTATTAATATCATTATTTACACTGTAACTACATGTTGCTTTAGTGGTCTAATTTATACACGGCAATGAGTGGAGTTATTTTTTTTTTTAATCTGACAGTACAGTGGGCTGAAACATTTCTTTATTCCAAATCCTGACTCTTGTACGTGTGTGTGCCCGTAATGCACACCGCATGTGAGTGCATTAATATGCTTTAAGTCAATATCAAATTTCAACATAAGCAGGGAAAGTACAGAAAGAGCATATTGAAAGAAACCTGTTTCCCTGTTTAAGTCGTGAATCTCACTGAAAGAGGTTTATTGTCGTTCCCTCCAGTAGCTTCTTTTGCTAAACGTCGTGTGGCTTAACATGCTCACTGTGTAGCAACATATGATGCAAACACTTCATCATGGTCAACTCCTGCCTCATGTGAACACAGTTTGTGGTATCTGTGGATGAGTTCTTGGAAGTGTTTTTTGTTTTTTTGATAATTTCTAGTCCCTACAAGACTGATCATTATCTGATCCTCCTGCAAAATCATTCGACCTCATTTAATCTTGGTGTATCATAACTGTTCAACGTTCCTCATACTGTTATTTTTAACCTGCACCACTGATGACCTTTTGTCCCTATGTGTTCCAGCTGCAAAAAGATGTTTTACAGAACATACGGTTTGTACACATCAGTGCTGCGAAGACAAATACTGTTTTGCATATATCCTCCTCTACTACATACATTTACTCACTGTGCTTACATGCAAATTTGAGTTGTTGTACTCTACTTAAAGGGCCATTGTGTAGGATGGGATGGGATTTATTTAAATTGAATATGATATTCATAACCATGTGTTCATCAGTGTCATCACCTGAAACTATAAAGCCTTTACAACACTTTACAATGTTATCACACAGTGAAGGACTTTTTATCTTGCAGTGTTAATCCAAATGCTTTCCCCACTGCCGTAGCTGTAAAGTAAATGTATTTACCTTTTAAACTTATTTAAAATTATTGATACACCTGTGCAGACTTGTGAAAAAGTTGTGTAAAAGGAAATGACCTCTGGTGATGTCACTTGAGTCAGCATCAGTTGAGGCTGAAGACCAAACATTTAAAAATGAAGAAAATCTGGGGGGGGGTGTAGTTCCATTAGCCGCCTGTAGCATAACACACCTGAATCCCAGACCAGGCAGTCAGCACTCGAGTTGCATTGTGGGGGAGGTAGGCGCCAGGTTCTGACAAGAAAAATGCATGGGAAAAAAACCGACATTGCCAATTCGATCTTCCTTTTTTTTTTTTTTTTTAAACGGACCATCGTGATCCGACAACGTTATAGCTGTAAATTCGTGAAGTACTCTTAAGTGACATTGCAGTATTGCTACTTCTAGGATCTGAATTCTCCCTCCGCCACCGTAAATAATTATATAATACATATATAATAGTGTATATAGGTTTTCATATAGTATATGAAACTGATAAACCTGTGCAAACAAAATAAAATTTGCATAATATTTGCATAATCAGCGGCTACAATAGACAGTCCATTCAAATACTCAAGGAAGCAGTATTTTGAAAGAATTTGACTGTTGTCTGAACCAGACATCCCCTCGGGCTTTAAGCCATTTGTCACTATGATCTGATGTTTTGTAGAGCAAGCACTTCATTGACTTATCAGAAAATAATTGCTGTGTACAAAATAAGCTTCAGGCGACAAAGCATTTATCAGAGTCGATTTTGGGTGGGAAATTAAAGTTGTGCTGATGAACAGGATCTACTTGTGCAGACAAGACTCGAGTTCAGGACTTCACAGCTCAAGCACGCACAGTCAACAAATAGTTTGTCATCAATCAGCGTGACACGTAAATGTTTATTGCTCAACATGTTTGTTGCTCAATTTGCCTTAAAGTATAAAACAAATGTCATCATAAATTAAACACGTTTTTGTCCAATAAAGCTCAGACAGTTGTAGTTTTATCTTGGGTCTGATCTCAGAGAGCATCATTTAGGTCACAGAAAAAAAATACACCTCTAATTCTACAAACGCAAACATACACAAACTAAACAAAACTGGGAATATAAAGCATTATAAAACCAGTGTTAAATCTCATTTTCTGTGAGATTAATTCTTTTTTTATGGAAAGTATTGCCCCTAATAATCACAAACAATAACTTATCATGGCAGTAAAAGCATAAACTTGCACGGTGCCAATATGACACAAAAAGACATTACAGGCACAATAAAAGTAGAGTTGATGGCAGAACAGTTACACTGGAATGCATTAGACTGTACAGGTGTACCCAGTAGCGTGGATTCTGAGTGTACCATAAGAGTAACAGAGTGTTACCCTTTTATTCCCTTTTACATTTTTAAATAAAGATACAATTTGTATCAACTACATACGTCTCCTCTCATTTCATCACCGAGGCAACTTACAATGCAACATAGTTTAAAATAAGGCACTCAAATACAGCAAGGTGGATACCACAATACATAAATACACAAACTCATGTTTATCTTTTTGAGTCTTTCCACTGAAAGACGTGGTTTCAGACCGGCCGCTGGACGTCGTCTCATCTCTGCGACCTGTTCTGACTCTGCAGCTTGAGGATCTCAGCGACCAGCATCTGTGGATCCATCACCTGAGGAAACGTGTCCATGGCTGCGTCCACCAAGTGGACGCTGAAGATAGCGAGGAGCTTCTTCCGGACGACCTCTCTCTCCTCACCGCCGGGACTCGTACCCGGAGGAGGCTCCCATTGAGAGCGCTCCCCCGGCAGGCTGCGGACCCCCGGTGGGTGAGCCCCAAACGGATCGGACCAGTGCTGCCGCTGCTGCTGCTGGTGGTGGCCGTGGACTCTGCTGTGCTGGAAATCAGTCGGCTGACTGTATGCAGACACGCCGACTGGGTATGCGCCGTAGCTGGCGTAATGAGGCGGGTAGGGAATCATATCAGAGTTGTGGCTGCTGACATGCCCAAGGCTGTAACGCTGGTTGGGGTGCTGGAAAGCTGGCGTGGTCCCCCGAGAGGAAGGGCCATGTGAGCAGCAGCTGCACGGAGGGCAGTACTGTTGTCTCACACTGTGGGTGTGCTGGGAGCTCCAGTACATCGCCCCATACTGGTGATCACACACACTCCAAGGAGCCTCCGTTGGCTGACTGTCTATGGAGCCTAAACCAGAGTCCAGCTGCTCCTGAGAGCCACTCTGCCGTCCTGAACCGTGGTCGGAAGACGGGCTCTGGCTGTTCTTCTCCTTTCTAGGTGTGGCCTTCTTGCTGGATCGGTGACTGGCCTTCAACTGTTCGTGTTTATGGTCTCTCTTTAAGGAGCTGCTCTCATGTCCCAGAGTCAGTTTCTTTGCCATGTCCTCCAGCAGCGAGAGGCTCTGTCCAGGAACGGGACTGGAGCGAGCTGAGGATTGTTTCTGAGGGGTAGACGGGTGCTTGGCGTTCTCCCGAAGCTCATCGGCAACCAAGCGGTTGGATTGTTTGGCTCGCTCAGGATGGTGGAATTTACATTTGATTCCGAAAGTACATTTCTTTCCTGAAAGAAGAAGAAAACACAATATTTTAGGAATAAAATTATAATATTATGATAATTTTCATACAAAACTAGGAGCTTATAGCCGCTTTGTGATGACGGCACAGCGGCACTTTGAGCTACATGCTAACTTTAGCCAGCAAACATTAATGTCCAGCTTTTTACAACAACTGTTGAATAAAATAATCATGTGTTTTCCACAGAGCTTATTCTCTGCAATAGTCCAAAATCCAATGGAAAAATCCCATTGGCCTTTTGTTGAGGGAACTAGTGTGATGCTAACTAGTTGTTAGCCTACAAAGATACATATTTCCTGCAGCACAGGGTGCACTTGAGCTAACGTAGCATGCTAACATTCTCACAATGACAATGCTAGCATGTTGATGTTTGGTAACTATAATGTTTATAATGTTCACAGTGTTAATTTAGCATGTTAGCTTACATGTAATACATTAGCTAAAAATGGACAGCCTTTCCTTCACAAAAACAATGCCATGCAGCACAAATAATGTACTAAAGATGTTCTCTCACCATAAGGACATGGCTGTTTTTTCATAGCCTTTGGAAACCTCCGCAGGAAGTTCTCCAGGGTCGGTCCGTGGCGGCCCAGAGGATCATCAGGAGGCATAAACCTGCGTTAGGGTGAAGTTCAAACATTAGCTGAAAAGTACAACTTCACATACAGCAAGGGAAGCCTCTGGATCAAGAAGGCAGAACTCACTTGTTATTGACGAAGGAGTACATGAGCAGTCTCTCCTCGATGAAGCGTTTCCACTCCGGCTTCTCTCCCTGCAGGTCCCGGTACATGTCGTTGGACACGATGATGCCGTCAGACTCGTAGCCCAGCTTGACGATGAAGCAGTCGTCATTACAGACCACCCTTTTGCCCGCGACGCGTCTCGACGGTGTGAACACAAGTATCTTGCTCCTCTCCAGGTCTCGCAGAATGTGCTGATCTGTAAACCAAACAGGAACGCACAGTCAATCTTGCATTTACTGAATCTTTGACCACTTTGGGGCAGGAGAAACAATCACCTTTTAAGTTGATTTCCTATCAACTTGAACTCGTTAGCAAGCTTATTTGCACATCCAGCCGTTATGGAGCAGCGTTATCATTCATTTGGAGTCGTGTTCCTGTCCAATATTCACCCTCTTTTAGCTCTGATTTTGGTCTCCACCAACTCCTTATGGAAATATCTATCTTTAGCTGCCATATGCTCCACTTTGTTTACCAGCTAGTCTCCAACTGTGTCTGTCTACAGTGGATCTTTTAGAGTTTTTTTAACTGAAAATGACTGAATGAGAGCAGTGGGAGCTGCAGATACAGGCGATCATTTTCTGTGCGCTCATCACCCAGAGAGACCCATTTAACATTGCCACGTTGATTGTGAAAAATGATTGACTACAGCTACTTTAACTAAATCCACTTTACAATCTTAATAATCATTTTTCAGGAAGCCACTGTTGCATTTAAATTTGGGTTCTTTCCCAGCAGACAGATTTGACCTGGTTAAATATTAACAAAAGGCCCTGAAAGCACATCCTGTGACAAAACAATTCATCATAGCAATCGGTTCATCTACAAAAAGCAAACGAGCAGAACGGCGTCAGAAGCGGCTTCCAGATGTAGGTTAACCAAAAAAAGCTGTTAGAATCACTCACAGCTGAAACCCTGCATTCAGATTACAGACAAAGCTCATGTACCTAGCATTCAGGGAGAAATAAAAACCTACATGGGGTATTTCCCATTTTGAGAAATAGCGCTCACTCTGTTGCATCAGAGCAAAAATCCTGCTCTCTCGCCGCTTTTAATTTTGCCTCTGGCTTTTAAGGTCTTCGCAAATCAAAGACTATTTCAAATGAGGCTGCAATTATTTTCATTTTAGATTTTTCTTGCACTCACACTTATTTTATTTTGATAAAATATATAAAGAAATTGTGAGAAATGACCTTTAAAACCTCCCAGAACACAAAATATTTAAATATGTGAAACAGCCCAAAACACAAATATATTGCAGTGATATAAAACAATAAAAAAAGAAGCACAGTCTCTCTCTTTTTATTTGCTTGAATAATTACAAACATTTATACCTTCACCTCTAATGTCAAACATGACAATAAAAGAAGGCACAACCTACTTTTCTAATCATGACAAATGAGCATAGCGATACGCATGCGATGGGATCACACCATGACGCAGAATCAAGTCAGGGGTGTAACATAGAAGGAGACAATGGCCCCCTTCCCCAATTCCTACCCCCTTACTTTCGGCGACCCTTGCTCGGACCACACCCATCTTCAAACTCAGCCATCATTTTGTTCTCATCTACACTCCTGTCAAGTTTTATGACTGCATCTTTGCACAGTTGTAACACACCCGGAAAAGTACTCAAACGCCTCTGTGGTAGTTCCTTCTGCAGTGGGTGTCTCCAAAACCACACCGATGAATCACACATTCACAAGGTGAAAACAATACCGTGCATTCACGTGCAATCACGTGCATTACGGTCGCTTCCCTTATCAACCGCATCACTCTGTTGCAGTTGGTAACACGAGCGCAGTGTTGTGTAAACCGTAGTACCAGGCCAATAAGGAAGTAGAAAACATTAAAATATGCCGTGAAATTCCTGTAATCCTACCTGTAATGGGAACATCTGGCCGGGGCTGCTCCTTCCTCCACGAGGGAACGAACACGGTGATTTCACTGTGGCCTCTGTCCACGAAGAAGTTCACTGCCAGCTGGATTCCCAGACAAGAGAAAACGTCCTTGTTCCCGTGGCTGAATGAATAAACACAAACCAGAGTACATAGGGATGAGAAAACTTTTAGGTGTCTCTGAGCCAGTTCAGAACAAAGACCGAAGAGTCCTTTATGATTCTCCTCTTTGATGTTCAAACTACACCACAGCTCTTATATGAATACACACACTATTTTAAATTTAAATTTGGAGGATCACAATAGAACAAACTCACTTGTCTCAAACAGGTTGAGTTTGATGATCTAGATATGGATATTGTAACTGCTAAAGAACAACTGTTTCCATTGTTGATAGTTGGATCAACTGTTTGGCCTGTAACACGTCCGGAAATGTGGGAACAAATGTCTACTGCAAGCTCTCAAAAACCAACATTGATTGATTTCCATTTAAGAGAAATGAATGCGTTTCAGTTTGTTTATATTTTCCTGATCCTTCCCGTTACGTTAACCGGTTTATGTTTTTGCCTTTACAGTACCTTACCTTAATGATATCTTATTTTTGTGTCCTACTTTGTTCTGCGACTGCATGCACAACAATTTCCCTCGGGATGAATACAGTTCTATCTCATCCAGTGACCCACTGGATCACAACTTTGTGGCTTGTGACCCATTACAAGAGTATAACATTTAAGGGAACACACATACTTGCTTTATTGAACCTTTGACCCCCCCTAAATTAACTTAGCTTAGCACAAAGACTGGAAACAGAGGGAAACAGCTAGCCTGGCTCACCTCGGAGGGGACAAAAGCAGCCTCTGAAGTTCCCCAATTAGCACATTTTGTGTTTATAGTTTGTGCAAAATCCACAAGTTTTGGTTTCAGAGGTATGTGTTGAGCAATTTATTAGCTGGGAGCAGTGACTTTCTGGAATGTAGTCACGATGCCGTTGCTGGCAGAGACTGTTAAAAGTAAGCCAAGCATATTTCCCAAAATGTTGCATCTGTCAAGAGTGACGTTCCCCTCTTAGTTTTGTTTTTATTTTTAGGCCTGAAGAGGTCAAATTGTCCAGTATTTTACAATAAAAGCACAAAAACCAGAGAAACGGTTCATCTTTTGACCCATAGAAAACTGTACCAGCAGCAAACAGTGAAAACAAAGCCCCTAACCTGAGGAATAGTTACAGGTCTTATATATGTAAATATTCGCACTCTCATTTACGGTAGCGCTACACTGAAAACACAACGGTGCTTGGAGCCCTCGGGGCAGTTTTTGGAAGTGTCAAAGAAGCCAAGACAAACGAGAGGAACAAGGAAAAGCTTTTAGGGGAGCTCGGCTGTGAAATGCTGTCGAGCCTGTTCCTGTTGACATGACGTCTTCCCATATGATTAGGAAGGCGCTTATTTATATATACTCTGATTTGCATACTGGAGCAGTCCGTCGACAGCGTGCCTGTACGGGCATGCCCGACTGGGAAACTAAAAATAAAGAAAAGAGGGGTATGTATACTCTGACTTTGCAAGAAATGTAGTGTGTAAATTCTGTGTGCGTGTGTGTGTGTGTGTGTACTCTTTCACATATTTTCTCCATAAAAAGGACAAATATAGGTGTGTTTGCAAAACTGGTGCATTGTCTCTCCGAGTGAAGTAACAGTCACTTGTGTTGAATGGAGCCCGCAGGCGATGTGCAATGCAAATGGAGGCGACAGCAGCGAGCATGTGTTGCTGCTCGTGATGAGCTCGGAACAGTGTCCATCATCGGACAATGTGACCTCTGCGGTCACTTGAGGGGCCTTAAGGTTTATTGTTATTAGCTGTCGCTTGAGGCAACATGAGCTCCACATTTATGGTTTTGAGCGAAACAAGTTGATAACTGTCGGAGATCTTAATTAAATTTGGTACAAATTCTTTAAGTTCCTCCCTCAATAGCTTGTCTTTGGTTTACGATCAAATACGTGCCAATTTAGAGGGAGATGATTTCCAACGAAACAGTCAGACGGTGAATCACCGGCTGACTTGAGGCCAAATGTCGAAAGACTTCTTGTGTTACTTTCACTGGTGACGCTCCTACCAGGGGCTCGTGTGTGTAAAAGAGACTTTGTTCTCAGTGCGTGTGCCCACCACTCATCCCCCCCCCAAAAAAATAATCAAACAAAAATGAAGAGGAAATAAAAAGTAGTAAGAGCTTTCCTTAATCAAACAAAGTAACAAAAGGGCTCTACTCCTCCCTGTCCTCGAGCAGGAAGCAGGTGTGGGAAACTTTAAAGCAGACGGCATGTATTTATCACAGCTAATTATTGTTATGATCAATTCATCTGACGGTTATTTCCTCAATTATTGGATAATTGGTCTACAAAACCACACAAGCCTGAGGTGAAATTATCAAATGCCAAACAAACAGTTCAAAACCCAAATATATTCGGTTTACACTTATATTAGAGCTGCAACTAATCCTTATTTTCATTACTGATTAATCTGTTGATTATTTTCTAAATGAACTGAGGAATAGTTTCGTCTTTGAAATGAAAAATGCCTGTTGACGTCTTCAAATGTCTTGTTTTGTCCAACCAAAAGTCTTACACTCAAAGACGTACCGATAAATATTCACATTTCAGAGGCTGAAATTCTTGCCAATCGACTAGTCGATCAATTGACTAAATCGGTCCAGCAGTCAGTTATGTAAAACAGAGAAAAGCAGCGAATTGTCCTACTTAACAAGCTATAAATCAGTGAATTTTGAGCAATTGTTATCGATGAGCAAAATAGCTGCTGGTTAATTTTCTGCCGATGGACTAATCAATCATTTCAGCTGTAGTTTCTCACCTCATGGCCACGTTGCTTCCATCTATAACAACGGGTCTCAGAGCGTCGTCATCCTCGCTGCCCTCCTCTCTGCTCTGAGGAGACGACATGGTAAGAGGCAGCTGCATGGTGGGGCCCACAGCCTGGAAGTCCCCTCTGGGCACCAACACCGACATCGTGGTCACGGGCCCCTGCTCGGCCCCCCGGCCGGCCTCCCGGCTGGCTCCGATCCTCACCAGCTCCCCCAGGAGTTTATCTGTGTCCATGTTGGGGCCGAACATCTGCCGAACGGCCAGAACCTGAGCCGTGGAGTACCCGAGCTTGTGGAAGAAGTCCAGCTGGGCCTCCGGGTGCTGGGGGCCCGGGGAGGGGTCGGGTTCGCAGGGGTACATTCTCTCACAGGGGGGACGGGAGCAGTTTGGAGCCGCGAGGAGTGGAGGCAAGATCCATGCAGAAGCGTCAGAGTCTGGGAGGTTCAGACGGGTGGTGTTGGGGATTTTACTCCATGGGTGAACAGATGTGAAGAGAGCAACATCAGGATTCATCTCTTCAGCTTCCACCTACTGAGGAAAAACACAATATAAAGGACTGCGCTGAAGTACTATTTAGAGGTACTTTACTTTACTTGAGTATTTCCATTTCATAATATATTATACTTCTACTCCACTCTGTTTTAGAAGCCAGTATTGTACTTTTTACTCCACTACATTTGTTTGAATAGTTACTAGATACTTTGCAGATTCAGATTATTAATACAGAATATAAACCAACAAATACATTGTGATGTATTATTATGGATTAAGCCACCCAGCAGTATGTAAAGTAGTTCAAATGAGCCTCACCTTCACCAGCTGCAACATTAAAGTGATGACTACATTGATGCACCTGATTATAGTAATTCACGAACGATTAGTCGATCAATCATCATGTCAGTTGACAGTAAATTAATATGCAAATATTTCAATAATCAGTTGTTTGTTGGATACAAGAACCCCTTGTGCTCTGCCAAATTATACTATTTATTAATATTTCATGAAGAAAGCTCAATTAATAATATGCAAATAAACTGTTAATTAAAAGAATCATCAGTTGCATAATTATGTCTTTTATAGACTTATTTCTTTCTCTCAAACTTACTTTGCTATTTTCTGTAGAACTTGTTTTCTTCGTTCTATCTTAAAACACCTTATATTTTGTACTAAATCAGATTATTACTTATTTTCAGGGCTGCAAATACGGATTATTTTCATTATTGTTTAATCTGCATATTATTTTGTGGATTCATTGAGTCATTGTTATGTCTTTAAAATGTCTTGTTTTGTCTAATCAGCAGTCCAAAACCCAGAAAGAAATATCACTTTAAAATGATTTAAAATGGAGAAAAAGCAGCAAATTCTCACATTTGATCAGACCAGTGAACATCTGCCTGATGAATGATTAACAGATTATCAAACTAGTTGCAGATAATCGATAAATCTACTTAATCTATCAATCCGGTCCACTATATCTTTGCTTCATCACCCCAACTGACAAAATGTTTAATTTGATATAAGAGGAGATTTGAGAGGGGAAATAAATATATTCCTATGGCATCCTCTCACTATCGAAATAAATGAAATGAACAGTGAAACTTATTGATGGAACCTAACTAAGTAACCAAGTTTGAGGTACTTGTACTTTACTTGAGTGGTTCCATTTTCTCCTGCTCAATACTACTACATCCACTATATGTATATGGTAACTTTCGTTAATAGTTACTTTACAGATTCAGATTAATAATACAAAATATTATAAACAAATTCATTATGTTGTATCATTATAGGTTAAGATTAGAGGCCATAAAACTCCATTGATGAATTCACAAGCTACCCAGCATATTACATTGTTAAATTGGGCTCCACTTTATAATCTAATTGTATAATAAATATGATTATGAAATGAGCCATTCTGCATGTCTTTTACTTGAGTAAGTTTGCAGGACCTTTCTCTATACTTGTACTTCTTCCACCACCGGTGAGCTCATTTAGTGGTGGATTCGTTGTAAACACTAACTGTTGTTACTCGTGCAATTTGAGTTTCAAAAGTCGCCCTTTCTGCTTCCGCCTATAAGTTCAAACTTAACAACACACACAACCGTACCTTTAGAAGCCTCAGACGAGCGGTTGAATGCGTCTCTCCGCTCATACTTCCATGTGAAGCGTCTTGTCACCGCTGCTGAAATGCGGAGACGGGGCGTTTTTTGTCTGAGTGGAGAGCCGGTAACCAGGAAGTTGGGTTTTCCCTTTTCTTGACATCAGCAAACAGCGAAGCAACAACGTGGAGGTTTGGGCGAGTGACGCGCTGATACTCCATTAGAAATGTGATCTGGCTCCCTCTGAGTTCAATCCTGTTCACTGCCATCGATTACACACGCAGATGAGAACAATTACGAACAAACTGGGCTTACATTTAGAAGAAGTGTTGGAAAAAATGAATTTATTTTACTTAAAAACAACAATAGTGTAGAAATATGCTGTTGCAAGTAAAAGTAGCCCACTTAAGTAAAAGTTTAAAAAAGCATAAAAATGAAAGTACTCACTGTGAAGAATGGCCCATTTTAAAATAATATATTCCTAACACTTTGGATTATAATTAAAGATGCAAGACTCACTAATGTTGCAGCTGCAAGGTCGAGGTAATTTCAATAACTTAAGCCACAAGAATATATCACAATTTATAAGCTGACATATTAATAATAATATTAGTTGATAGTAATGGCATCTCTAGGCCTATTAATAATCTGAACATGCAGAGTAACTAACAAATGCTGCAAAGTAAAAAGTACAATATTGGCTTGTCGTGGAGTTGAAGCATGAAGTACCATGGAATGAAAATACAAAGTATTTTTTGTACTTTTTACCACACTATATTAATTTGATACTGACGATTACTTTTTACATGTAAAACATGTGCTTATATTATGCAGTACTATACCACTAATGTACCTAGTGGTATGGAACAAATCAAAAAATGTACTCCACATTGATAACCATTAAAATACTCACACATGTATTTATTAATGATAAAAACAGAATAATGTATTTATGCAAGACAATAAGAAAAATAACTGAGGAAAATATTGAAGAAAAAAAAGTTTGATGTCAGCATTCAAAATTAAGATTCTGAGGAAGACACATTTTTTAATTTGAAATCATTATTCTATATTTCTTACAATATTTATTTTTAAAACTTGATTTGAAGATAATTTCATAATACATGCACTATTGTGTCTATGACTGCATGAGAATGTCAGACAAAGCCAGCAAATTACATGACAAAATAAAAGTCTTTATTAAAGTGTTCAGGACAAAGCACAATTCTCTGGATTTCTTCTCGAGAAGTTCAGAAAATATTATTATTTCATTACATGTTAGATTTCCTCCTCAATTTACCCTCTATAACAGTTACGCCTTCTCCACTGTGGTCCTAGTTTGTGCCCTATTTTAAGAGGGATGCTAAGGAGCACAGCTGGATATGGCTCAGGTACTATTGCAGGCAGAGTGGCTGGTGGAGTTTGAAACTGTGGTCTGTGCTTTGAGTAATCATCTTTATTCGTGGTGTCTGACTTAGGTGTGACATTCAAGTCATGCGCAGGTGATTGAGGATTGATTGCTGGTGATTCAGCTTCAGGTCCTGCTGCAGGTGTGATGTGTGAACCAGGTGTTGGTTGTGAGTCTTGCCCAGACATTGGTGATTCTGTAAGAGGTCCTGGTTCAGGTGTTGGTTCAGAATCTTGCAGAGATGTTGGAGATTCTGTTGCAGGTTCTGATTGAGAAGATGGTTCAGGATCCTGTTCAGATGTTGGTGATTCTGTAACAGGTGCTGGTTCAGGAGTTGGTTCGGACCCCTGCCCAGATGTGGAAGATTCTGTTGCAGCTGCTGGTTCAGGTGTTGGCTCAGAATCCTGCCCAGATGTTGGTGATTCTGTAACAGGTTTTGGTTCAGACGATAGTTCAGGATCATGTCGGGATGTTGGTGATTCTGGTACTGGCTCTGGTTCAGGTGTTGATTCAGAATCCTGCACAGATGTTGGTGATTCTGTAACATGTGCTGATTCAGAGGAAGGTTCAGGATCGTGTCCAGATGTTGGTAATTCTGTGACAGGTGCTGGTTCAGGTGTTGGTTTAGAATCCTGCCCAGATGTTGCTGATTCTGTTGCTGTCTCTGGTTCAGGTGTCGATTCAGAATCCTGCCCAGATGTTGGTGACTCTGTAACAGGTGCTGGTTCAGGATCATGTCCAGATGTTGGCGATTCTGGTGGAGGTGCTTGTTCAGATGATGGTTTAGGATCCTGTCCAGATGTTGGTAATTCTGTTGCAGGCTCTGGTTCAGGTGTTGGCTCAGAATCCTGCCCAGATGTTGGTGATTCTGTAACAGATGTTGGTTCAGATGATGGCTCAGGATCATGTCCAGATGTTGGCGATTCTGGTACTGGCTCTGGTTGAGGTGTTGATTCAGAATCCTGCACAGATGTTGGTGATTCTGTAACAGGTGTTGATTCAGAGGAAGGTTCAGGATTGTGTCCAGATGTTGGTAATTCTGTGACAGGTGCTGGTTCAGGTGTTAGTTTAGAATCCTGCCCAGTTGTTGGTGAATCTGTTGCAGGTGCTGGTTTAGGATCCTGTCCAGATGTTTGCGATGCTGGTACTGGCTCTGGTGTTGGTTCAGAATTCTGTCCAGATGTTGGTGAATCTGTTGCAGGTGCTGGTTTAGGATCATGTCCAGATGTTGGCGATTCTGGTGCTGGCTCTGGTTCAGATGATGGTTCTGAATCTTCCCCTGATGTTGTAGATTGTGGTGGAGGTGCTGGTTCAGAGGATGATTTAGGATCCTGTCCAGATGTTGGTAATTGTGTTGCAGGCTCTGGTTCAGGTGTTGGCTCAGAATCCTGCCCAGATG